CTGCTTTGTTAAAATTAAACAATCTTCGATAAAAAGCAGTGATGATTCAGAAATAGATAAATAAAACTTAGTCTTAAAGAAAAAGACTTCCCCCAATCGGAACGATCCGAAAGAACGAAGCCCAGGACACAGTCTTCTCAAGTGGGTGTGTATTTGCCTAATACACCCACCGAGGTCTTCTTTTAGGTGTGCTGCGATTGCCCGAGCTGTCCTACTAAGTAGCTCAAGGCAACCTCTTGGTCGAAAATTCGTCAAATCTATGAAAAAGCTCTCCCACACTCGGACTGCTCCAAGTGCACGAGAGTAGGGAACAATTCTTCTTCTCAAGTGGGTGTGTATTTGCTTAATACACCCACCGAGGTCTTCCTTTATTTGTTCCCGGATTGCCCGAACTTTCCTATTAAGTAGCTCAAGGCAACCACTCAACCAAAATCACAATCAAAAAAAAAAAAAAAAATCTTGTTCGGGTACTTCTAATACACCCAATATAGAATCCAAAGTTGATCACGAATTTCAGGGTCAGAATGGGTTCTTATGACCCTGATAAGCACGCCTAATATCCTAATATGATCCTAATTAAATGGATATTTTCCGTTTCCCAAATTGCCACAGAAGGTTTACTCAAGTCTCTTACAAGGAGGGTCGCTAGAAGGTTTAAGACACTCCGGAGGGTTACCTCGGAGGGTACCTCAATCACTCAAGTTACTTAGGAGGGTATCTTAATCACCCAAGTTACTTCGGAGGGTCCCCCTAAATTTACTAAGGAGGGTCAATAAGATGCTTAATACGCTCCGGAGGGTCACTTCGGAGGGTACCTCCAAAATTTTCAAATTTTCTGTTCTCACTTGGAAGGTTCTCCTACTAGCTTCAAAAAGCGTCAAAATAAGCTAGGAGTTCTAGGGGGAGCTGTTTCAACTTCTTAGGGTGATCTCGTGGAAATTTTCCACTAAGGAGGGTTGCTAAAGGGCTTAGCTGACTCCGGAGGGTCACTTCGGAGGGTTCCCCCAAAATCAAGAAAAAGGGTTAAATCACCGCAGTAAAGCCTCTGAAAGCGGTCTACCTGACTTAAAACTAGGTTGGCTGACACGGTCAACCTTCCCAGTTGAATAAAAAGATGTTTTGATAAAATTTTCTGCCGCTCGGAGGGTTGCCCGTTACTTGGACCCTCCGAACCAACAAATTCTAAAAAATTTTTCTTTTCCGAAATAATCAACCCAAAAACGGTTGCGATTCGGAAAAGTGGTCAAAAACGTCGACTTATGGTACCAAAATTATCCCGATCGGATAACTAGTCTTTGAGAAATCGCCAAAAACGCGTTCGTCAAAATGGCCTTTTTCACCACCTGTATAGGATCTGAAAGACTTTTTTCGCAATTCCGGTCAAAAGTGCCTAAAAATACTTGAAATGAGCGTAGTAGCCCTGTACGGCACTGGAATAATGCAAAAAACCGGACCAAAATTGGTTTAGAAACAAAAATTTGGCCAAAAACTATCAAATTTGGACCCTCCGATTCCTTCCTTTTCCAAACCTTAAGTCGTTAGCTCTATCCACGGAGCTACTCGGAGGGTTACCCAAAAATTTCTCTAGTAACCGAGCACGTTATGCTAGCACGCTCCTAACGCAAAAATTTTATTGCTCTAACTCTAAAAACTCAAAAACTCGATCCCCAAAACAGATTGACAAAATACAGAAAATTATCAAAATTTTGGTCGAAAAATTCTCGTTTTTCTAACTTCCACTGAATCTTTGCTCACGCGGTTTCTTTAATAAAGGGGATCGAACTACGTGGCTACTCTCTATATAAAAGCTTTTTGCCTATCGGAAAAGCTCGGATATCCGAAAATTTGGGGGTCTACAGTTTGGTCGAAAATTGGTAATTTTCGACAAAAAATGGGTGTTTCTTGGGTCTAAATAGGAGATAAGTAATATATAGTAAGGACAATAATCTATAAATAGTCGTTAATAAATAGTACTATACCCTCCTTTGCACCAAAATATTCGAATTAAGACCCTTAACTCGGAAATTTGTAATCGATGGAGGGTACAATCGGACCGCGCCAATCGTGCCCCCCACCACTTAAGTTTTAAGGAAATAGTACCCGAACGATACTAAAATTGCTTCAACGATACCCAACAGTCGTTGCGGATGTTGTCCTTGATGTCCCTGTTGAGTGTGGAACACGTTGATCAGCCTGCCACTCTACCCTCCGGTCACCGGCAAAATCACCATTAACGTGCTTAAACACTCAAATTACACTCGAGGGAGGGTACCCAACCCTTCACCAAAACACACAATCTCTCTATCAGAAACGATATAAATCAATCTGAAACAACAACAAATAGGAAGGTCAGATCACATCTCGTCCGGAAATAACATATAAACTGTCACTTTATGTTTTTTACTGTTTTTGGTCTTTTTTGGATTTTTTTAACTGTTTTTTGTACTTTTTTGTTTTTAAATAAATTTATTTTTGGCTTTTTCTTGGTTATACACTATTTTTGTTTGGTTTTACGCTTTCTCTTTAATTGTTTCTGGTCCTGGGACCTCAGGACAAGCGGGCTCTAGATTTCCCACCTAACCCTCCGGCCCCCGGAATTTTCGGTGTTAACTAAGTTAAAATGCTAAATTGCACTAGACGGAGGGTACGCACCTTCCCCCTAGTACAATAACGGTCATTAAGGCCTCTAACTCGGGCATACGCCCGGAGCGGAGGGTACGTCGCTGAAACGCTTGCTGATCATGATGGTTTCATGCCTTTAACAGGCCCACCCAGGAGCGCCATAAAAACGTCTATGTAACATTCGCCCAAATATCACACAGCGACGGAGCGTAGAAAAAGTACCTATCAACGACTGGCAGGCGTCAGTTACCTTAATTCTACTCGTTTTTCACCGTCTCGACCTTGCCAGTTGATTTTCTGGTCTGTTTAGGGCAAAGTAAAAAGTTACCATTTTTAGGCCATCAGTCAAACGACTTTTGATCAGCTTTCGTTTGCATGCGAACACAACCACATAGCTGAGTCTCGGATCCTCAGACTACGTGATTGTCATTAAAAACACGGCTCGAACAACCTATTTTTATATGTTTTTGTGTGACAGTTTTATATTAAATCCATTGGAGATGGATTGACCCTTTCCTTTTTCTATCTACTCATGCCCTGAAATATCAAATAATATCGGTGTTTAATTAAGATCTAGGACATTACAGCAGCTGTTATAGTTAGTTTACCCAGTCCCTTCACATATAACAGTCTCTGGGGGACCAAGCCTCCGCTCCCGTGATTTTCTTGAGATAACACTCTTATCTCCTATATTTCGTGTCCCGGGAGGGTTCCGTGGTATTTCTCTTCCCCCCACTGAAGCCTCCGTCTCCACAAATATCTGTCACTAAGGTCCTTATCGTGTGTTATTGCCACGATAAGAGGCTCCGTGTTTTTCTGTCTCTGATACAACCGTTCTTCACAATTTCTATCGTTGTTCTGATTTTCGTCTTTTTTATTCAAAATGGCCGTCTTTTTTCTATTTCTCAGAAATGTTCTTCTTCCGATCGAAATTTTAAAAATAAAAATTCTAGAACATTCTGACCCTCCGTCGCAACACTTTTCTGTTCATAAGGCCTTTAGTCACTTTTATTTCTGTCGCGGGAAGGTTATGCTGTGTCATCTGGCAGAATGGCACACTAACCGGAGAACGTACCGCACCTACAACCGCTCTGACGGTAACATTCGAAGATTTCGGGGTGCTTATCGCTCGCAAACTTACTCGTATACAATACTTTGTTTTTCAAAATTGACACAATATTTCCTTTTCCTTTGTTTATATGAACATTGTCTTTATCTGATAGTTGTGCACTAGACCAAATTGCATCTGTAAACCACGAAAATCCCAATCGTAGTTTTCGAATAGTTCTTTCAATTTCCTGTTCACCCTCAAATGAAGAATAATTTCGTGATCTAGATAGGTGGCTTTATAATTTCCAAGTTCGTGTTCGGGGGAAAGCGTGGTGGGATACCAAATACGAAAACTTTCTACGTTACTTCAAAAAGAGTATAAGCTAGTTCGAAGATGCTATTGACTATTTCTTCAGTTGAAGACTGAGATGGAAAGTATCCGTCGTATAGGTAGTTTGCACCAATGAATAAAGAGGCAATTCGATCGTATTTGCCTGCTTTTTTGGAACGCGTCGAACCACAGCACCAGGTAGGGAAAGAATGTTGATCTCAAGATAGTTTATATGCTTCCCCTGAGAGTCTCGAAGCGAAAAAACCTCTATTGTGGGATAATTTGAAAACGTGATATCTCATTTAAACATTCACGCAGGTCTCTAAAAACGTTTCATTGAAGATACTCCACAACTTGGGTTTGAAGACATTTGACATGAAACAATCTGTTTAGTAAGTTTACTTTATGCTTTCCCTACCTGGTGATATTTATGATAGGAATGCCACTGCGGGACTATTGGAGCGGAATGATAGGGATTCTAGAGGTAACGCATGAAAAGTAATAGTACGTAAAGCAAATCTAGAAATGCGAAAAAATTTCTTTACGATAAGAGCACCTCTCGACTGGAACAATCTGCCACAGGAAACAGTGCAAAGCAAGACCATCGACGAATTCAAGTGGAAACTGGACAAACATTGGAAAGCGATTGGAATTGACATGTACGAATTCGAACGGAGATAGGAAAAAACATTTGAAATGACCACAAGAGGCACTGCCTAATGGTCATAAAAAACTTGACTTGACTTGACTTTCCTCTACACTTCCCTATTTGTAAAACATCAAGGGTGTTTTGATTAGTGAAATGACAGTAGACTACTGGAATTACATTGGTTACTCTTATAATTTCTGAACCTACGATTTGAACAAAAGTTATTTTAAGCATCTTTTCCATTAACATTTTTGGCCAAATTTCACTTACGTTCTGTAAATTGTAAATGTTCTTTGTTCGTCTAATTATTATACCTTCATTTTCAAGTATGTTTTTTAATAAAGGATGATAGCTTCAGATGAAATGATTCGAATTGCTGCGGCAGCTGGATGTCGAAGCTCAATCAGGCCAATCGTCACGTCAAGATTACTTATGAACAAGTAAGCTTTTTATTATGAAAAGCAAAATGCCTAGCTTGTAAGCTACGCGAGGCAACAGGTGACCAAGTTTGAATTGTATTGATAAAATGTCAAAACCATGTCATGAACAGTCAATTTAAAGAGAATGCAATCAATGAACAGTCAATTAAAAGAGAATGAACTTTTTTCTGACATTTTAAAAACAAGATTTCTGTCCTCAGTTATTTTTCGTACTGGACATTTTAGGCGATCGATTGGATATAATTTTTGAACGCTATATTTTAGCTTGCAGGCATAATGCGTACGCAGCGTGAGCTTTCTGACACAACGCGAACGCAGCGTATTGATCAGTAGCCAAAATGATTTTTAACTCAATCATGGTCTGATGAAGGCGTTCACTTATTTGATTAGACTTAGTTCAACTCGTTTGCGTTTTCTTTGATCCACGTTGAGTTTTTTTTTACGAGTCGCAAGTATTATTATTGTTAGGAATTATCACAATAGATCTGAATGGACTGCTCTCGTTTGTTTTGTCGAATAAACGTTACATCCCTGCAGTTTAAAACAGCGTTCCCGTATAAGGGTTTACCTCATTGATTTTCTTCATTTGATAAGATTTCCAGAGCCGCTTTTATGCGGTGGACGCGACTACAGCCACCGCCGTCAATCGCACCAGTGCAGGTCTCCTGTTTTTAGGAGCGAAGAAGCATGCGCAGGTTTTTTGGTTTCGAAGCAGCTAAAGTCGGATGCGCTACTCCGTCTATTAATCCTCATCTTGTTTTTACGTGCTGGCATCAGTGCCAACCCATATTGAATACCTGCCTCCCGTGTAACTCAAACTTGCACGCACGACGCACCCAAGCTAGTGTTTCGTGTCACAGAAAGATCTATCGAAAACGGAAGATTGGTGCAATGCTAATAAAATGAAATTAAACGAGGGCAAATGCTATATCTTGCCAATAAAATAGAAAGAAGGCGTAACGCATGACTTCACGTTGAGTTCAAAACAGCTTTCTGAAACAACCGAACAAAAGGACTTTGGATTAATCATGGCCAGCAAACTATCATGGAAACCAAATGTCGATAATAGGTGTAATAAAGCTTGGAAAGCATTCTTCTTCCTGAAAAGAAACATCTCCTCTTGCTGCTTAAAACACTTAACTTAATGCGTACATAGGATATGTAATATCTGTAATAACTTATGCATCACCAGCTTGGTTCGCGAACAAAACTGAAATTAAAGAAATACAACATGTCCAAAGGAAAGCAACTATCTGGATAATGGGCAATTGGGATAAGAGCTATAAACAAAAACTAACTGAACTGAGACTGCTTCCATTATCGTATTACTTTGAACTACAACATATGTTAATGCTAGTATCAATGTTGAAAGGCAGCTACAACATAAAACCACCGATAAAATTGAATACGAAAGCCAATGACGATCTTTCATTAACAAGACAAAAAGATCTAACATCGATAACAAAAACTCGAACAAGAAAGGCTGACTGAAGTTTTTGGAGAAGAACCAGTCAATGACTGAATATAATACGAAAAAAGGAAATATCGACCTCGAACAAATTGACAAACCATGCCTAACAAAGTTATGCTGGATTTACTTCTACAAAGATTACTCTGAAGTCAACTTATGTTCCTGGGCTTTTATCGGCAACTGTGGACATTGCAACCCGGTGCAGAAAGTCAGCTCAGCCGTCAAGTGATAGGTGCAAACCCTTGTGTAAAGCGCGGAAGCCTTAACTCTATCTCTCTCTCTCTCTCTCTCTCTCTCTCTCTCTCTCTCATATATGCGGTTCATCCACCTTAAGTGCAGTCGACCCTCGGTTCTTCAACAACACCATCAAAATTTCTCTTGCACCAAATGTACAAGAAACCACATCAAGTCCGTACCAGAATCTAACTCGCTAAAAAATCGCTAAAAATCAACTTGTTACCACTTTCCCAATTTGATAGCCCTTCCCAAATTTCAAAGATCGCCTAATGGAAAATTCTTGTCCACCCGCAAAATCTCTTAATTTTCTACAACTTAACTGCACTAGCGTATCCGTTAAAGCACGCAAAACATCAGCATTGCTGTGCTAATGTCAGGTACAGTATGCAATCAAAGATGTTCTGAGGGTCTTTTTACCGGCTCATTCAATTTCAAGTCGGGCAATAAAAATTTAATCCAGCTAACCCTATCAAAGTTTCTCCTAAAAGCAGCTCATCAGCACGGTTTTCGTCCTCCAAACTCAGCAAATACGGTCTTGTCTACTCTTTTCTATCTGCTGTCGAAGGCGTCCATAATGTTCCGTAGTTTGTTTGATCCCACGAGATCTTGTCCATCTAAATGAGTTGTTCAAAAAGTATCAGTTGAATCGTCGTAGGCGAAAGCCATCAATGCGGGTCATAGAGTCTCGTGACTTCTGGAAGTGCTTGCTGTTGGTCACTTTAGACCGCTGATGCAATTTAACTGCAAAACTTAATTGATCTGGTCCTAGATTTCACTTGATTCCAAGTGTTTTGACGATATCGTTGTCATTTTGGTTTTTATCTCGTCTGTTGCCTCTCGATAGTGCATTTGCAATCGTTTTAGTAGTTTCATATCGTGTGACGTCCGTTTGCGAATTTGAAATCCACCTGCAGCGATTGTATGTTTTTGAATACTTTCCGTAGTTGATTTGCTGATTCAATATCTGTAGATCCTGTTAGATCGTCTACGTACATTAAATGTTGAGCGTTGCTATCCTAAAAGAGTCTTCATAACTATCTTCAGCAAACAACTAAGAGGTCGTATCCAATGAAAGACTGAAGAGGCGATTCCATAAGTAATTCTGGTTATTCGGTAGTGCTTGACCTCTGTCGAGTTTTGGTTTTTGAATAATTTTCGATGGAAATCTTTATCCAACTCCACCGAAAGCGAATCAGAGTGCTGAAAAGGTCTTTCTGAGCTGCTGGTCCAACGATCAGTTTGTCGTTGAGTTATAATCCAGATATCAACTTGATGATGCACCGAAAACCACTAAATTTTGTTGTCGTGTTTGAAAACACAATGATGGGGTATGTAGGAACAGTTAAAATGTGTTCGCTTTATTTGTCTGGAATTTCTTTGTATGACCAAGGTTGATCAGTTTGTCATGAAGTTATTGCATTTCTTGTAGAGCTTAGGGTTGCTTTCCAAACGAAATAGTTAGTACGTAGTCGTTGTCTGCGAGCATGCTGTACTGTATTTCTAAGTCAGTCTGCGATTTCTTCTTTGAATGGCAGTCTTACAACAAATCGGCCCTCTGGCTGGTGTTTAGTTGTTGCTTTGAAATTCTCTTGTGTTCACTGTTTTGCTTTTGATATTTCTCATTCTTAAATTGTTGCTATTGTGAGGTGCTATTGTTGCTGACAAGAAATGTCTCTTGTCGTGAAGTAAGCTCGTTGTTGCTGGTTTTTTTGTCCCATTAAAAGCCAGCCAAATACTAAGAGACAGTAAAGTTTTAACCTGTCTGCTCTTTGATTTTGTTGTTTCCAATCATCAGATTCTCGTAGTGTGCTGCTCCAATCATCTTGTAGTTTTTCCGTGGTTCGTTAAGTTTTGGATCGGCCATGTGTTATAATTTGGTTATTGACCGGTTGTCGATGTTGATTTGTCTCAAAGGTAATTTGTTCGTTTTTTTTTCTGCAGCTGTTATTGAGATTGGCTTCATGTCTGATGTTCGAATAAGTAGATGAACTTGTCCCTTGTCGGGATTTTTGTTTCCTGCAGCTCCGCAAATACTTGTAGTCTCTTTCTGTTTGCGTTTCTGTGACAAAATTGTTGTGGTGCTGAATCCAGTACTTCTCGAATATCAACTATTCCTTTGTTGATCTCGAGTTGTATCTTGTCAGTTTGTAAAACATCTTCATCCTGAGACTTTTCATGAAATGGTGCTTACGGTAAGTTTTTTGTCGTCTGTTATTACCTTTGCTGATGTCTGCTGTGATCCGGTATCTGGTCTTTTCAAAAGTGGTTTCTAGTCTTGATGAAAAACAGTATTGTCCTACTATCTGTTTTTTTTTGCATCGAGACTTAGAGCAATCCTCATTTCGATGTCAAGTTCGAAAGCAGTTAGCTGTTTTTCTTTGATCAGTCGATATCTGGCTTTTATTGAAAAGTTTTTGAAGATACCGTATCTATAGATGCGATGGTATTTTTTATACAATATTGTCCGTGTATGATGTAGCTAGATTTAAATGAAGCGTCTTTGGTCTCTTGTTGATTTTGCAGTCGAGCTGTCGATGATCAATCATTGGCGATCGCAGTGAGGATGTTTCAAGCGCTTGTCATCTTTCTTCGAGAAACTTCCTGAGCAGGTCGTAATGACAAGGTTCACTTCCTGGTGTAGAAATTTTCCCATCTTTCCGTGCTTAAATGGAAGTCGTTCCGTCATAAGGTAAACCAGGAGAATGTCCTATTGATCCACTGGTTTTCCATGGTTGTGCAAAGCTCCTGTGTTCCTGTATTGTTTCAATGTGATTTTTTTGTCAATGAACGCTGGTTGAAGACCTTATGCAAATGTAATCGCAAATTCAAACCCTTGTTATTGTATCGGTTGTCCCGAATTTCGGTGGTGATGTCAAAATTGCTATCCGCAACTGTTGTCGAATGTAGTAACTGGTCCGCGTCTCTTGTCAAAAAATATTTCAAGATCTGTAGCTTTTGGCTTTTCGTTAGTACATGAACAAGTCGATCAACGATTTCCTTTCCATGTATCTTCCAGAGAAAGCAGGCTGAATAAATTTTGGCAATTTGGCATTCACATCTGCTGTTCAGCTGTAACCTCTAGAAATTCGTGTTGTTGTTTTGAGATGCTCGAGAGCGTTTGAGTTGCTCCACAAGTTAAATGTGATGCAAATGAGGCTGTCGTTGTTCGAATTGTGGTTTTGTTGATGCTATTCGTCGATGGGTAATGTTAGAAACTCTATTGAGCTGTTAAGGTTTTAGGTCTTCGAGGGAATCGAAATGACAAATCAATAGGGAAATGTCAGTTGAAGTAGTTGGTCGTTGATGCCGACTGGTTCAAACTGGCAAGTAAAAGGCAAAAAAAGTAAAATGCTCCCCTATAAGTAAAATGCAAAAAAGTTGACATGCACAAAACCAACCCAAAACAATAAAAAGGTACTAAAAATGAAGGAAGCGTAGTATCACAGGGAATCACTGAAGTGAATCACTGAAGTTTTTCATGAAAACAGTATAGTACCGATTCTTCGGACACATTCCGGGGTTTACCAGTGGTTAATCAACCTTTAACTTCAATTTTTGGGGGCGTAAAGTGTTCGGATACCTGAAGGCCAACTGACTCTTCTAACTTTTCAGCATATTCAACTGTAACCCTATCAAATTTAGCCGGCAGACCTGTTTATGTTGGCATATTCCATTTCTAATCATAAAACTTAGATCCCTAAACAAGTTAAGATAAATTTCTAATTTGTCAACATGTAAACTTACGAAAGTCAAAATGCTCAGAATTCAATTAAATGGCTTTTAGTTTAGTTTCACTAACTTAGTGAAAGTCAGTAGTTTCACAGTAAAAGTTTGCTGGCAAGGTTAAACTTTGCCTGGCTACATTGGTTTGTAGAGTTCAGTGGCAACGTACATACTTGTCCAGTTTGGCTTTTTCCCACCCCTCCCCCTTTATTATAAATTTCTATTTTCCCAGTTTTTTTACGTGTTGTTATGGCTTGCTGCGTGATGTTGCGATTTAAATATTGAAAAACGAATCTTTGCGAAATTGTCAGATTAGTCGCCATGCCAAGTTGCATTGCATTATGACAGCCTTAAATTAGTTTTGGAAAGGAAACCCAGTCTTTTTTTTATATGGGATAAATAAAAAAATTGCCAATCATCATTGGACCTTTAACGTAATGCAATTTTTTCTTCGAAAGTTAAAAAGTGTGCTAACATTTTCAATCAATTTTTTTTTCGTTTTCCATTTTTTCTGTTTGCACTTTTTCTCATTCATTTTCCAACCATCTTTGGGCTGTTTATTTTGATTTTTGATGTAATTAATGTAGTTGGTGGGAACACCTGAGCTTTTGCAAAACAGCCAGTTACTGCATTTTATTTAAGATGTAAACAACTTCCAGGTGTTTGTACATATTCAATTTGATATTAAAGGCGACTGGTGTCATCTGTTGCCGTGGAAAATGCAGCTGAGTACAACATTGAAACAACGCTAGCTGAAAAGAGGAAAGGGGCCCTTCTCGGTGGAGGACAGAACAGAATAGACGCCCAGCACAAAAAGGGAAAACTAACTGCACGTGAGAGGATTGAAGTGTTCTGTGACGAGGGTTCGTTTGTGGAATATGACATGTTTGTGGAACATAATTGTTCCTTGTTTGGAATGGAAAGAGATGAAAACAAGGTTAGCACGACGGTTAGAATCAGATGCTGGCTTCAGCATATCGACATGTCTTCCAAGCGCACTTTAGTGTCATTTTGCAGAGTTGATCAGTTTCATGCCGAAATAAAACCTGATTTGTAACATCGAAATGGTGCAAAAATGCCGAGGCTAGCATCTGATTCTTCATCAATTGCAGAGCAATTGATTCAGGGTCAATGTAAATTAAACAAAACTAGTGTTGATATTATGGTGATGTCAAATTAAATTAAAATATTCATCGGGACAACAATTTCGCCCAAGCATTTTTCCATTAAAACAAAGAAAATAGGACTTGTGCCTGATCCTTTTAGATAAACTGTTTAAACAACGGCGGTAGCAGCCTATTTAGAAGTTATATTTGCTTTCAATTGCGAGAGCAAAATTGTATTAAATTTGTATCATCGTATTAAATTTGTAAACTTGTATTAAATTTGGAATTGTATTAAAAATTTGAAATTTTTAATCGATTGTTTTAAAAGAGTGCATAGAAACTGAACGTTAAAAGAATTCATGTCAGAATGAGAAATATGTTAAGTTTTTTGTGGTTCTTAGTTCCTCGGAGATGGAGTTGTTACTGGTCACGGGAAGGTACTGGGAAAAACAGTCTACATTTTCAGTCAGGATTTTACCGTGTTTGGTGGAAGTTTGTCAGGTGCACATGCTGCTAAAATATGCAAGGTAATTGCAAGACCTGAGTTGATTTGTTTGGTCTCATATGTTTAACTATAAAAGTGCTCCGATGAAGTTTTCATTATTGAAAGTTGGCTTATTTTTTGACATTGTGGTAGTTATTAAGGGTCATGAACGTAGTTATACCTAATACTCTTAACCTAATAGTTCATATCTAATACTCTTAAATAGGTCTTGGTGATTTTTATAATTCGTTTTTTTTTTCAAGAAAAAATCTGATTTTCAGGAAAATGCCTGAAACGCTAAAATTTGATTTTTTTTGCGGTTTGAATTTATTTCTTTTTAAATTCATTTCATTTCCGTTGTTGAAAGGAAGACAAACTCAGCTATCGAACAGCAAAAGTATAAAAGTCTCGAAAAATGTGATTGGCTTCTAAAATGGAATTTAATTTTGAAGTTTTCCAGCGAAATGAAAATTTTTCCTATTGATCCAGTTTTCTCAAATTGGGTTTTTTTTTCAAAAAAGTGTGAAACATTAATTGTTCTTGAAATTCAAAGAGCTTTAAGTATATATAAACTAAAATGAAACTTTTGTAGATTATGGACCAAGCAATGCTAGTTGGTGCTCCTGTGATTGGCCTGAATGACTCAGGGGGAGCGAGGATACAAGAGGGGGTTGAGAGTCTGGCTGGGTATGCGGAGATATTCCAGCGCAATGTGACAGCTTCCGGAGTGATTCCCCAGATATCCCTGATCATGGGCCCATGTGCGGGTGGTGCAGTCTACTCACCTGCCATGACTGATTTTGTGTTTATGGTACAAAACTCATCCTACATGTTTATCACAGGTAATTTAAATTAAAAGCTTGCATCCAAGTTTAAAATATCAGTTCGACTATAAATGGCGTTCAATGAGCAGAAGTACTGCCCGAAATTTAATTTGGACGAAGAAAACTTGACAACTTTGATCAGTTTTAGAGGACGTTTTTTCTGCACTTTCGCTGCTCAGGAAAATTTGATCATGTCGAGTTTGATCTTTTGCGGTTTGACCTTTGATTTTTTAAGTTCAACTAAAGTTCATTTGCAAATTACGCTCGCCAATTGAAGAAGTGGGAATAGCGTAAAAACTGAATAGTTTTTATGTTTGAAAATGGATATTGCTTTTTGACTTCCCAGCAGAAAATGAACCAATTGAACGAAAGTGTCAGCCATATTTTTTTCTGATTTATTTGAGTTCATTGACACTTTTCCAATTGCTTGTTGGCTATGTTTTTTTAAGTTCAATATGAGGAGTTTGTTTAGGTCCTGACGTCATAAAACAAGTGACTTATGAGGAAGTGACGCAAGAGCAGTTAGGAGGAGCTAATACACATTCCGCAATCTCAGGTTGGCCACTTCATCAGCAATCCTAATTTTTAATAATGACTGGCGCACTTATCCGAGAGTGGGATTGATTGGATTTTTTTTCTGGTTGCAATGCCGCTATTTCCGTTGACAAACAACCAAAAGAAACAATTTTCTTTCCAAATCATATTGTACAAGTTGACAGGGAAAATACTCAAGCTCCATCACACTAAATCATGCGCCTCCCTATAAAATCTCGTATAGCTTTCTTTTTTACACGAAGAATAATTTCAAAAGCTCTTAGCTATTCTTGTGCTGAAAGTCTTGTTAAATGGGTCGGAGTAGTTGATTTTTGGACACACCTGAAAAGGACGATAATTGTATTTGTAGGTTGCTCGCATGGTGCTTTTGATAACGACGTAGAAGCGCTTCGGAAACTTCGAGACTTGATGACATTCTTGCCTCAGAATAACAAAACCACACCTACTCAGCTTCCATCGGTTCCCGTTGAATCCATTGACGATGTGCCCCTTTTGGATCAAGTAGTCCCACAGAACTCTGCTATTGCTTACGATATGCTTGATGTAATCAAGGCTTCAGTTGATGACAGGAATTTTTTCGAGATCATGCCGGACTATGCGCAGAATATAGTTGTTGGGTTCGGCAGATATAACGGAAGAACTGTAGGAATTGTGGGAAACCAGCCCAAAGTTGCGTCAGGTAGCTATATAAATTGATTATTTCTATTGTTGTTGAGATTGTTTAAGCTAGAGAGGAGTCGAAATCGATGTGTCGCTCCTCAATTTGTGGAGACTCTTCTTCCCTCACAACCGTTTAACTCGATTACGCCCAGTTCTTTATGCCAGTTGTTTATAATTATGCCAAATTGCATTCATTTTTCTTGTTTTGCATATTTGATCTTTTTAAAAATGTTGCAAGTTTTGTTCAGGATGTCTTGATATTGATGCATCAGTGAAGGGTGCGAGGTTCGTGAGGTTCTGCGATGCATTCAACATTCCTCTGATCACTTTCGTGGATGTTCCTGGATTCTTGCCTGGTAAGTGCAAATACTCAATAAAAAACACCGAAGAAATTGGCTGTTTTGTGCAATATTTTCTTCAAAATTGATTTATTTTACCAGGTACCGAACAGGAATATGGTGGAATCATTCGACACGGAGCAAAACTCCTGTTTGCATACGCAGAGGCAACGGTACCCAAAATCTCAATCATCACCAGGAAAGCATATGGAGGCGCCTATGATGTCATGAGCTCGAAGCATTTGAGAGGAGACAGTAACTATGCGTGGCCCTCGGCCGAAATCGCAGTTATGGGAGCAAAAGGAGCAGTACAGATCATATTTAGGAAAAGTGAAGATATAGCATCCGCCGAACAGAATTACGTTAAGGAATTTGCAAACCCTTTCCCAGCTGCAAAGAGAGGTAGGCTTTCAGCATCCGAATTTCAGAGAATTGGTAAAAAGTGAGGAATGTACTACTTCAGATAGTTTTTGACGAGTAATGAACGTAGGTATAGGTCTTGGTAGTTCTTATGTTTTTTTTCTTCAAGAAAAGTCTTCACGCTAAGTTTTGACTTAGCGGTTTGAATTTTGATCTTTTGAGGTTCAGTTTATTTCCATCGTTAAAAGGCAGAAAAACTCCTCTATCGAACAGCAAAAGTGTAAAGGCTGCGATAAATGTGATCGACTTCTAATCTCGAAAATGGAATTGAATTATCTGATTTCCCAGTGAAATGAAAAATTTTAGCAATTGATCCAGTTTTCTCAAATGGGGTTAGTTTTATCAGAAAACACCAATCATTACACAAGCTAAGTGTACTGTATTATTACGAAGATTTGTTTTTTCCAAGCTGAGTCGCAAATATAAGTGCTCATTTGGTGGCAATTTTGGTATATTTCAATTTAGTCTTATTAAAGCTTATTTAAGAATAGCCAATTTAATGGCATATGTTGCTCCTTTTTTGTTGGCTAGTTCTAGGCCCTGATTGAAAAAACAGGTATTACAAAGATGTATGGGATTCGTTGTTTTTTTTTGCGACGCTTTGGAAAATTTTTGCTCTTTTCTCAAAAATATCCATTTTTCTCAAAAACTACTGTACTGATTTTCAAAAGTAATGAGTTTAATAGTAGTGAACGTAGTGAAGACTCTTAGATAGGTCTTGCTATTTTTTTTTTCAGGAAAAGTCTTAAAATGTGCATAAAAGTCTCTTATAACTACAGATGTGCATTTGTACATATTGATGGATTTGTGAATGCACTTACGTATATATGCCCTTTTTGAGATCAATTGAAACTCATCTGCTGAAAACGACGTAAATAGCACTCTCCAAATACGAATGTGGAAAAGGCGCGAAAAAAAACGAACGATTTCTAGTTTCGAAAGTGGAATTTAATTTTTAGATTTCCTGTGGAATAAAAACATTACCTATTGATCCAGTTTTCTCAAGTTGGGTTACTGTTTTCAAAAACTTGCCAATCCTAAATCGTTCCAGAAGCTCAAAGAGCTTAAAGGGCATCTCTTTTTCTTTGAAGTTCGAAAGTTGAGATTTTTTTTTAACAAAGTGACTGTTTTTTTCTTACTTGCATGCATTACTCTTTTCCAATCTTCGAGTGGCTATGTAATAAGTTACCACAGTTGATGCATTTTAAGTTCATGAATTCAACCGAGAAAAGTTATTTGTTTCAAACAACATAACTATAATTTAAATTCAATATCAGAAGTTTTCTTACTCAATATATCTCGGAATTTTTTGAAATGCATAAATTTATACATAATTTGGGTTTATGCTTTGCGATTTGTTACATGCGAAGTTACTGACGGTGCCTTCAGCTTGTTGCATTCCAAACTTGCAAAATCTGTCTTTTTGTATTTGGTACTACTTCTGCTGCATCGAATTGGCAATTTATTAGCATATGTAGCTTCGTTATTGGTGGCTAGTTTTTAGGGATTTTAAGCATGCGTGGTTAGCTTGCAAGACTCAAATTTGCTTGGTGGCATGTTCGAATCCGTCATTTAGCCGAGTTTTTTTTGCTAATTCGAGGCTTATATATACTTTTTCTGCTCTCACTTGATAGAGCTGCTTTTTGGTCGGGTTCTCGCAAATGTTTGCGAAGCCCAGCTCTACCTGTGTTTATTTTTAAATTGTATCTTTGAGCGAAAGAAGTCAAAGTTGTTATCATTTCAAATTTCGCACAGTAGCTTTTTTCACTTATACATTTATTTAAGCCTATTGTTTAAGCTTATGTTTAAGCTTGTTTAAGCATAAACGTTTTAATGGCATGTGTTGCTGTTTTATTTTGGCTAGTGTTAGAGTCCGTTTTTAGTGTTCGTTTTTTTGTGACGCAAAAAAGGAAAAAAGTGATTGCCTCAAACAAGCCCATTTTTTGACATTTTGGCACGAAAAAAGTGATTGCCTCAAACAAGACCATTTTTTGACATTTTGGCAGTTTTTAAAACGTTCTGACTTTTCTCAAAAACATCCGTGCCAAATCGGAGGTTAAGGATTAAACCGATAAAAAATCAGTTATACGAATTTTAATTGTGCAAGCGGCTATGCCCTGCGTTTTGAAAACAATATAGTCTTAGAAAATGTCAAATTTTGGCCGTTTTTTGGAAAGTTGTTTTTTAAAAACTAACCTGCTGATTTTGAGGTTGATTATTCATCAAAACTAACATGGTGCTGAGATTTTCCCGGCGGAATCTGTTTTGCCCTGTGTTTTTGTTGAAAAGCTGATATGGACTTTGGAAAATTGTCTTTTTAAATGTTCGCCGTTTTTGTTTTAAAAAAGTTTGTCACTTCTCTCAAAAATTTCTAGTTAAATCCAATGTTAAGAGTTCAATCCAAAAAATCAGGGTGCGGAAATCTTCTATCTAAAAATCAGGGCGTTAATTAATAGCGCTGCTTTTTTTCGGTTTCAATATAGCGCTGCTTTTTTTCAGTTTCTCGCTATGAATGCAGCTTTGCCTCTGTATAAAATTTAGTTTGTTTCTAAATTATTAAAAGTAATGAACATAGTGGAGACTCTTATATAGGTCTTGCTAATTTTTTGTTTGTTTTTTTTTCAGGAAAAAGTCTTAAAATGTGCATAAAAGTCTGTAATAGCTACAGATATGCTTTCATATATATTGATGGATTTATGAATGCCTTAAGGTACATATGCACTTTTTGAGTTCAATTGAATTTATCTGTTGAGAGTGACCTAAATAGCACTCTCCAAATACGAACGTGGAGATAGTGCAAAAAAACGTGAACGATTTGTAGTTTCGAAAGTGGAATTTAATTTATAGATTTCTCGCGGAATTAAAACTTAGCTTGTTGATCCATTAATGTTATCAAAAAAGCGCCAATCATAAATCGTTCTAGAAATTCACAGAGTGTAAATGGCATCTAATTTTTTCTTTGAAATTCGAAAGTTGAGATTTAATCAACAAAGTCAGTGTTTTTCTTAATGTTTACTTGCGTTCATTACTGTTTTCCAATCATCGATTGGCTATGTTTGTTATGTCAAGTTTATATTATCAGGTTACGTTGACGATATAATCCAACCAAGAACAACAAGACGTAGAATTTGTGCTGACTTAGAAAATCTGGCGACGAAGTCGCTCAAAGATCCCTGGAGGAAACATTCGAATATTCCTCTATGAAACCATTTCATACCACAAAACTGAAGATTTTAATTTATGACATGCCCTATTTAATTTTGAAAATTGATATTTGCTTTTTATTGTATTCTTGGCTGGCCTGAAAATTGTCTATATTTGTATTTCCCATCTAATTGTAATTTAAACGAATAGATTTGAATAAAATCTCATTCAAATTCAGCTTGTTTTTTTTTATTGTTTAAAAGGTATATAAAGTTCGTTTTGAAGGAAATTCAAAATTTCCGACTTTCAACAAATTTCGAGCTTTCAACAGTCAATTTTTATTGAACTGTTTTATACTTGAGCTCTTCCTCTTTTGACTTTGCTATCAGTTGTCAATGGCAACAAAAGACAAAACATTTAGAAATTCCCAGTGTGACGATCAGAAAGAAGTAACATTTCGAAAATGTTGTTAACAACATAGGCGACTTTTTAACCAAATTTTAATAAGTTGGGCATTCTTGCTGATAAAAGACGAGGTTATAATAGTCACTGAAACAGTTGTTCAAAAGATAGACCGAAGCATTTTCCTGTTTCTTGACGCTAGAAATGTATTTTTATCAGACTCACGCGGCATAAATCTCGTGTATTTCCTGTCCGTCGATTTCTTTTCTCAAGAAAACCATCATTCGATCTCCTAGCAACTCGTTAGATATAGTAAACGTATGCAGGAAATAGATTTCTTTCAGTTTAAGGCATGAACGTCCTTGCGCAGACCCGTGCCCTAAGCTACAAAACAAAATTTCACTTGTTTTTACAGTCTTATTTCTCTCCAAGCTAAAATTTGAAAACCAACGAAGAAACATCAAGATGAGAGGAAAGCAGCTATTTTGGGTTCAGCTTAAAACCCTCATTTGGAAGAATTTTGCCCTGAAAAGACGCAACTGGATTTTCTTCTTGCTTGAACTCATCTCACCTTTGGTGCTGTTCTTCATAATAGTGATCGTGCGGTTGAAAAGACCTCCAATTGACAGGCCAGCGTGTCATTTGAAACCAAAAGCTTTGCCGTCGGCGGGGTTCTTTCCGTTCTTGCAGACGTTCGTGTGTGGAATCAACAACGAGTGCTATGAGTACCCACCGGAGGCAGATCGAGAGAGCTCGTTGTCTGGAGATTTCATCAATGCGTACATTTCGCTGTTTGCAGATGATGATTTCACGGTAAGTTCCAATCCTTCAGATGTTGCAGTGCGCAGCAAGTTTCTTAAAAATTTCGCATTTAAGGTCGAGTTGAATAGAGCATGAGTTAGGCTGCTGGAACAGAGTGTAGTAAACAGTTGGTCAAACAAAGTTAAAAGGGAACCCGCCTATATCATACCAAATTTTTGCATATATATGTTCAGGTATTTACACTAACGAGCTTGCGAGCGTTAGTGCATTAGTACGAACCTTCTTTTTTAAAATCTAAATCGCAAATAAAAGTGTTCATTATTTGGCGGCTAAGTGTTCATTATTTGGTGGCACTTTTGCTATTATCACGATCTGTACCATCTGTTCTCTGCTTTATTTGAGGCTAGTGTTTGTGATTAATTGAGAGTCGTGGCTGAGTGGTTAGTAAGCGAGAATCATATTCTTTAGGTCGCCGTAGGTCGCAGATCGAATCCGATCTGTAAAGGTCAAAATTGTAAAGGTCACGAAAAATGTGATCGACTTCTTGTTTCAAAAGTGGATATTAATGTTCAGGTTTCACAGCAGAATTAAGAATTTACCTGTTGATCCAGTTTTCTCAAATTTGGTTGTTCTTGACAAAAAAGCGCCAGCTATAAATTGTTCTTGAAATTCAAAGAGCTTTAAGGGTGTATATTTTCCTTTTTCCAGTTTTTTTCCTTGCGTTCATTTCTCTTTCCAACTGTCAATAGGCCATGTTTTGATTTTGAGTTTACCACCAATTTTGTATGTTTTACCACCCAAAGATATTTCCGGCCTAAGTGGTTTTTTTAAATCTTATATCGGGTTAAACGCTTCATACTTCTTCCTTTTATTGGACGATAGCAAATTTTCATTGTCTAAAATTAATTTAATGCAAGTTGCAAATCTTTATTTAATTTTACCACGCTTAGTTTCCAAAAAGGATATACTTCTAGCTAAATGTGTAGTAGAACGATTTCGGATCAAACTTATCATTGAAATATACGGAAGAAAAACAGTTGATTTTTTAATTGACTAATTGCAATTTTATTCCACGTATTTCTTCCTATAATTACCGTTGCGATAAGCAAGGGTATTGTAATCGGATACTAGACTTTTTTCACATAAACAATTTTGTTCACAGGACTTATCTCCTGTATCCTGAACTCAATACAAATGAGCCTTTTTGTTGCATCGGATATATTTGAGAATGCTAACAGTTCAAATATCTGGCCTAACCGCAATTTGCTTTCTAGCTTGGTTGTAATTTTACCTACTCGAGTTGTGTAATTTTCATTTTTTTTCTTGTTGTTTCTTGTCCTAATAGGTTTCGGCTTAGTTTCTTTTGACTGAGCGGCCTCTTTGTGCATTGATTGAGGACCGAAAAAGTTTTCTGTGTGTATGTTCTGAGGGGAAGAGGGACTTGAAGTTTTTTTAGTTTTGATTTTTTTGTCTTTTTTTCGGCTTGAAGCATTTCTGCTCAGGTAATTTCGTCTTTGTTACCGCTTGCTTATTATAGGTTCATTCAATTATTCGGTGGCATCTGACTAAGAGATTACCAACTGCTTGATACGGCAAAGGCTTGTGGTTCGAATCCGACTGGGACCTATTTTTTGAAACTAGATTTTTTGTGCTTTTTCGAACTATCGTCCGTCTGTTTAGACTTGCGATCAGCTTAGTGGGGTATTACGATTCTTCTTTTTTCTACCCTAACTCGAAAATAAAAGTGATCATTAAAAGTGTTCTCTTAATTGGAAATTTGAATGCAGCATTGGAAAATGCTTAGAATCTATTCTCTGCTTAATTTGTGGCTAGTGTTTTGTAAATTTTAAGCTTCTGTGGCAAAGTGGTTGATATTTGAGTCTCCTAATTTTAGATCGCAGTTTCGAAGCTCAGAGGTAGCCGAATTTTTGTTTTTAACTCGAGGCTTATTTCTAATTTCTTTTTTTTGATTTTATACTAGCTGCTTTTCGTTGTGTTCGCGCAGGTGTTTGCGAAGCGAAGCTTTGCCTCTGTTATTTTTGTCGGTGTAGTTCCCGTCGTCGGACTTTTTTTGAAGCTACAGCTTTATTCGAAGGTGATTAAACACCCATTCTTGAGACGATCAAAACCGGGAGTTCTATTCCAGTCGAGGTCTGTTGTTTGCAATTTTGAGTATCTTCGGCCGGTTTTGATTTTTGCCTGTCTGCTCATTTTTGTCGGCTTAGTTCCACAGAGAGGACTTTTTGAAACTTCGGCTTCTTTGTAGCATTTCATAAGCTCCTTGTTAGTGTACTGTTACGAACCTTCTTTTTTTTTAACCCAGCTCGTTAATGAAAGTGTTCACTTATTTGGAAATTTCAATGTAGCATTGGAAATTGCATAGCATCTGTTCTCTGCTTTATTTGTGACTAGTATTTGACGATTACCTATTCAGCTTTCGTGGCTGAGTGGTTAGGGTGTGAGACTCTTAATCTCTAGGTCCTAGGTTGGAATCTCAGACCTAGCGGAATTTTTTGCTCATTCGAGGCTTTTTTGTCGCGCAGCTTCGCCTCTGTAAAATTTGTAATGTTGCAGGTAATTTTGTTCAGGATATTTTGTATTTTCAAATCCTTGGTTGTTTTTCGAAATCCGAATGACGACTCAAGTGGCCATTAGTTACACATGCAGATTGTAGCGTTTTATTGAAAAGCAACGTGCAGGAAGCTTTGGCAATTTAGTTGCATATGCTTTGAAATTTTAGTTATAATTTAACGCAGATGATGTTTTCAATTCCTCGGATGTACCGGAAAAAGTGATTTGCTTTCTAAAAGTGTAATCATCCAACTTCCATTTAAGAAACTTTCCAAATCAATATATTTCGCGATAATTTGAACCAAATAATGTATCCTCAATTTGTTTTTTTTTCCAATTTGTAACAATCAAAGTTCATGGGGTTGCATGAGCTTGTTACATTCCAAATTATTATAAGCGTGCCTTAAAGAACAAGTTATTCTTATTGTGAAATTAAAAGCTCACTTTCACGCTATCATGCTTGTGTTTGCGTAGTTGAGGCTTCGCCTCTGTGTAAAATGTTATACCCGATAGTTTTTTAAGGTGTCTGAAACCGAATTTTTAAAAGCAACTCTGCACCTTTTTAAGATTCATGAACGTATAGAATACGCTCTTATATAGGTCTTGTTGATTGTTTATGTTTGTTTTCAGGAAAAGTCTTGAAATTTTGTTCATGGTCAAGTTTGATTTTTTGCGGTATTAACTTTGGTTATTTTTCTGTTCAGCATTTAATTTTTGAAAAGGAGGGCAAACGACGCAGTCGAACAGCAATTGTGTAAAGTTCACGAAAAACGTGATCGACTTCTAGTTTCGATAGCATATTTCAACTCGCAGATTTCCCAGCGGAATAGAAAATTTAACTATTGATCCATTTTCCTAGTGGTGTAGTCGGATCATAGTTTTTTTTATAAGTTAAATGGCTCTTCGTCTGGAGCTCCGGGATTGAATGATTTAGAATTTTTTGTAAAAGTGTTCACGCTCAAATTTGATTCTTCGCGGTTTGACATATGATTTCTTTTAAATTTTACTTCACCTCCTTTGTCAAATCAAAACAAACTCCACTAACAAACATCAATAATAAAAAAAGTCACGAAAAAAAGTGAAAAAGGGCATTAATTTTCAGATTTCCCAGCGGAGTAAAAAATTACCTAATTACCTGTTGGTCCAATTTTCTGCCGTTATCTAAATGGGATAAATTTCTGGCGTTATCTAAATGGTATAAATGCGATAAAAGTGCCTATCATAAACAGTATTTGAAATTGAAAGAGCTCCAACGGCGTACATTGTTTTCTTCAAAATTCGAAAGTTGAAAGATTTAAAATTTTGAATCATTTTTTTTTGTTTCCTTGATTTTTTTCCACACTTTTCCAACTGTTGGCTGTTTTTTGAAATTTTTGAGCTTCTTGCCTTTTTTTGCGTTGTTTTGTGAGGTTCAGCATGACCTTTTTTAGAAGTTGCTAATCCTATCATTGTACGCCATTTTTACTTTCCTTTGGAAACGTTTTGAAAAATTTGTTATTGCATGATTTCTGCTTTAAACTATCTGGACAAATCTGTTCTTATAAATACTTCTCCAATTCGGTCAAACGAAAAAGAGACTAAATTATTAGATTTTTACCAGAAGCATTATGATTTGTGTTCGCATTTATCGATTTGTGTTCGTATATCTAAATGTAAAGATGTGTAGTTTATGCAGGCTGTTTCTCTCGGATCACAGAAAAACAATTGTCAAAATGATTCAAATTTTCATTTTCGGCTCCATCAATTCAAAAAGCATAAATAGTGTGAAGATTTTTTTTTTAAGTTGATACGCCTGATGGCCAAAGTGGATACGTCTGATAGCTATTTATCAGTAATCGTAACAATATATCCGTAGACCAAAAATGGGCTGACTGCTAGGTGCGTCTATCAAATTCAAAATTAGACGGCGTCACATCAAGTATTTGTAGATTACGAGGAATTTTAGTAGCAAACCAATTTTTTTAACGAAAATTGAACAAAAAATGGTTTGCCATGAGCGTAACAGATCCGAAATTGTTGTATCTATGTCTATGAATTGACAATTGAAGCTGTTTTTTGGTTGTTTACTGGCTGGTCCGTTCGTCCACTAAACGCACCCCGAGTAATCTATTATATATTTAAATGCGAGCTTCATTATCTTGCCATGTTTAAGCTTTTTGAACGTATTATTTTAGCATGTTTAAGCCATATCGTATATTGCAATGGTTAAGATTTTTTTTCGATTTTCCAGTATTTTCATTAAGTTTTAAATTAGCAACCCATTAGTGGAATGCTGTCAGGCTTCTCCAGGGCTTGCGATTTTGTCTCCAATTATGAATACCCAATTACTTTCAGTTTATGAGATACGACGGTTTTTTTGTGACTTTTCAGAAAAATTAAGTTTGAAAAGTTCACAAAATATGTTAATCTAAACCCTGTAGTTGGGTGCTGTCAGAGTACTCTCAAGGGTTTCCAATCTTGCTTCCAAATATCACTGCTCAAATCTTTGTAGTGTTCGAGGAATGACTTTTTTCTGATTTTTTCAAAACATTTTCAGAAAACTTAAATCTATTATATATTTAAATGCGGGCTTCACTATCTCGCCATGTTTAAGCTTTTTCAACGTATTATTTTTGCATGTTTAAGCTATAGCGTATATTGCAATGGTTAAGATTTTTTTTTCGATTTTCCAATTTGATTTTAGTGGCTATTTTACCTTAAGTATATATTTAAATGCGGGCTTCACTATCTCGCCATGTTTAAGCTTTTTCAACGTATTATTTTTGCATGTTTAAGCTATATCGTATATTGCAATGGTTAAGATTTTTTTTCGATTTTCCAATTTGATTTTAGTGGCTATTTTACCTTAAGTTTAAATCTATCTATCTATTATATATTTAAATGCGGGCTTCACTATCTCGCCATGTTTAAGCTTTTTCAACGTATTATTTTTGCATGTTTAAGCTATATCGTATATTGCAATGGTTAAGATTTTTTTTCGATTTTCCAATTTGATTTTAGTGGCTATTTTACCTTAAGTTTAAATTAAGCAGCCCAATATTGAATTAGGGGTTGCGAATTTGGCCTCCAATTTTGAATGCCCGAATCATTTTAGCTAACGAGATAAGACGATTTTTGAGATTTTTTCAAAAAATTTCAGAAATTTCAAATAGCAAAATAATTTACGAATCTTGAAGTTCCCAACCCTCTAGTTGGGTGCTGTCAGAGTACTCTAAGGAGTTACAAATCTTGCCTCCAAATATGACTGTCCAAATCCTTGTAGTTTTCGAGATATGACGTTTTTGTGATTTTTTCAAAAAAAATTCAGAAAACTTAAATTATTTTTTTTTCGCAAAATCTGAAATTCCCAGCCCTGTAGTTGGGTCCTGTCAGAATAATCTCGAAGATTGCGAATCTTGCCTCCAAATATGACTGCTCAATTCTTTGTAGTTTTCGAGATGTGACGTTTTTTATGATTTTTTCAAAAATTTTCAGTAAACTTAAATTATTATTATTTTTTAAAAATCTGAAATTTCCAACCCAATAGTTGGTTACTGTCAGAGTACTATCAAGGATCGCGAATCTTGACTCTAAATGTGACTACTTAAATCCTTGTAGTTTTCGAGATATGATGTTTTTTGTGATTTTTTTGAAAATTTTAATTTTTCTTTTCTCAAAATTTGAAGTTCCCAACCGTGTAGTTGTTTGCTGTCAGAGCAGGGTGGCCACTTGGTATCTTTTTAGATACTGGTATCTAAAAGTCACTATTTGGTATCTTTTTTACGTAAGTATCTATTTTCAGACGTGAATGGGAAAGTGCAGGGCAACCAGGACTCAACAATTTTTGGATTTGTTGCGTAATATTTTCGATCAATTTTCAACTTTTCCCCCAGTTTTTTTGTGTCCTAAAAAAAGGTCGTCGGAACTAAAAAAAAAAAAAGGTCGTCGGACCTAAAAAAAAAAGGTCGTCGGACCTAAAAAAAAAAAAAGGTCGTCGGCTGCCAAGGTTTGTAGACACCCTGAATGAGGTATCTTTTTTATTCCCAACCAAGTGGCCACCCTGTGTCAGAGTACTCTTAGGAGTTACAAATCTTGCCTCCAATTCTGACTGTTCAAATCCTTGTAGTTTTCGAGATATGACGTTTTTTGTGACTTTTTTAAAAAAATTTTCAGAAAACTTATATTAATTTTTTTCCGCAAAATCTGAAATTCCCAGCCCTGTAGTTGAGTCCTGTCAGAATAATCTCAAAGATTGCGAATCTTGCCTCCAAATATGACTGCTCAATTCTTCGTAGTTTTCGAGATGTGACGTTTTTTGTGATTTTTTCAAAAATTTTCAGTAAACTTTTAGTTGGTTACTGTCAGAGTACTATCAAGGATCGCGAATCTTGACTCCAAATGTGACTGCTCAAATCCTTGTAGTTTTCGAGATATGACGTTTTTTGTGATTTTTTCAAAAATTTTCAGAAAACTTTTATTAATTTTTTTTCGCAAAATGGGAAATTCCCAAACCTGTAGTGGGGTCCTGTCAAAGTAATCTCAAAGATTGCGAATCTTGCCTCCAAATATGACTGCTCAATTCTTCGTAGTTTTCGAGATATGACGTTTTTTGTGGTTTTTCCAAAATTTTCCAGAAAACTTGAATTATTATTAGTTTTTAAAAATCAAATTCCCAACCCTGTAGTTAGGTCCTGTCAGAGTACTCTCAAAGATTGCGAATCTTGTCTCTAAGTATGACTGCTCAGTTCCTTGTAGTTTTCGTGATGTGACGTTTTTTGTGATTTTTTCAAAATTTTCAGAAAGTTTAAACTAATTATTTTTCAAAATTTGAAACTCCCAATGCTATAGTTCGGGGTTGTCAGGGTAATCTAAAGAGTTGCAAATCTTTCCACATGCGACTGCTAAACGCGACTGCTCAAATGCTTTTATTTTACGAGATGTGACGTTTTGATTTATTCAAAATTTCTCAAAGAACTTATCCACAAAGAAATTCAAAAAATTTGAAACTAACTTGATGAAGATACAACCTTATTGTCACCCAGGCTTCTCAAATCTTGCCTCTTAATATGAATGCTCAAATCCTTTTAGTTTCCGAGATAAGACGTTTTTTTTTTTCAATTTTTTTGGGGACACTTAGCTTTAAAAAAAATTACAAAATTTTGGATTCCTAACCCTATAGTAGGGTGGTCTCAGAGACTCTCAGTGGTTGCAAATCTGGCCTCCAAATTTCTCCAGAGGCCCATTAATTTTTCGAGATGACGCTTTTAAAATGGGAATAAAAAAAATTAAAAAGTTCGAAATGACCAACCCTGGAATTGGGTGCAGTCAGAGTACACTAAAAGTTTGCAGATGTTGTTTCCAATATATGCGGTTTTTCATGAGTTGTGAAAAAATTTCGAAGCACCGAAGGTGCGTTAAACGCTAGTTTATATTTAATTCTGAACCCCGTAGTTTGGGACTGTCAGAGAACTCTCAGGAGCGGCAAATCTTGCGTCCAAATGCGACTGCTCAATTGCTTTTCGTTTCCGAGATTTAACGTTTCTCAATTCATTATAAACTTAGATATAAAAAAATATCAGCATTACACTAATGGGTAAGCCTGACAGCATTCCACTAATGGGTTGCTAATTTAAAACTTAATGTAAATACTGGAAAATCGAAAAAAAAATCTTAACCATTGCAATTATCAGATTTCCCAGCAAAATAAAAATTTTACATATGGATCCAGTGTTCTCAAATATGGTTAGTTTTTATCAGGAAAGCACCAATCACAATTATTCGTGAAATTCAAAGAGCTTTAAGGGCATGGTTTGTTCTTTAAAATTCGAAAGTTGAAGATTTTTTCAAAAAAAAAGTCTTTTTTTTTTCTGTTTCCTGGCGTTCATTGCGCTTTTCCAACTTTCAGTTGGTTATATTTTGAGTTTTAGGATACAATAGATTGGGTCGTCCAATCAGGAGCCATCGAACTTCTGCAACCAGGTGGCTTGTTCAACCTCGACGACGATTCAATCACACTCTCAAACGAGACCCGAGATGCACTCGACAACTCTCTTCTCAATATCACCAACTTCTTTCTGGGCGAAAATGGACTGGGCACTGGAGAAGACAGCATCATCGTGTTCATCAATGCGGCTTTGACGCCATTGCGGGACTTCAAACTGTGTACCGGGGACCAATTGACGAATAATGTCATCTTTACAAGAGCTGCTGACAATCGAACGCTTGTAAATTCTTTGAGTTTTGTATGATTTTTGACACAGTAACGAAGATTATGACCCAGAATTTCACGAAAGACTCATATTACATACCAGAATGGACTTGCAATTTTCATAACGTTTTTTGATAAATAAAATGATTTTTTGAAGGTTTTTATTTCAATTTTTGATTCGTCTTCATTTGCTTGTAATTATAATCACCCATTTTTGTATCGCAGGTGGTGCGAAGCTCAGCTTCGGATCTGTGTTTAATTTTTATCTGGAAGCGATCAAGAACAAATTACTTATTTGAGGATCTTTGATGTAAGGTTTCAGACACCAAAAACGCAGACAGCATCGTTTGTTTAAGATTTAATGACTTTTAAAATAAGAGGAATCAATTATTGAGGAAGGAAAGTAAAACACGTGACACTTAATGGAAATTGAATCATAAGCCAGACAGTTACGAAAAATTGATTTCATTTTCAGGTTTCGGAGGAGCTATGCGCGTTGAGCAATGGTGACCAAGAAAAACTGGTGCAACCCGTGAATGAAGTCGCAGACTACTTCAACCCTATATCTGCAATCACAAACCTACTTAGACTCTATGGGGCACTGGAAAGATACAATATCCTGGATCTGACCACGAGTGCGTTCCAAGACATACAGAGCACAGCTGGATCATTTCAGACCGGTGGCGGGAGAGACTTCATGCAGTCCAATTCTCTAGATTCTCTGTGTAGGTAGCTTACGTTTGAATGGTTAAAAGGGTTGGTGTTCTGAAATTCCAACTATCACGCTTGCCGATGTAGGTTCTCTATAACAATGTTAATAATTACCCGCCCATTTGAGCTTCATCCTAACACATTCAATTTCTTCGGTGGATACGCAAATGTAAATTAAATGCGCAATTAAATCTATCAATTTAGTATCAATGTAAAAGTTAACTATCAATGTAAAAATGTGTTAAATCGGAGGTAAATTCGCCATTCATTCTATGCATTTTTTTGTTGTGAAATCTAAAAGGCTTTAAATTTCTTCGGGGTGGTTTTGAAAGTTTTGACAATCCATGCGATAACTGTCTGAAAGCAGATTCTTATTATCGTTGTTATTATGATCATAACCCTTGCAATAAGCAAAGGTAGTGCAACTAAACCAGACTTTCTCATGGTAAGTCTTGTAGCTTCTAAATGTGTTTCCTTTAGAAGTGGAAGTGTTTGTAGAGCTTAAAGAGCAAAATTATTTTACGTAAAATAACATTTATCGACCATTTTGGATTTCGTCCCAATTTTTGCCGGCTTTCTGACAGTTTTTTGCCAATAATATGTACAAGTTTTTTTTATTTTTTCATCAGTTCAGTTTTGAGCAGCGTAAATGGTTTCTCCCTTGTTGGATTTTATGCATAAAACTTTTTTTAGTAAAGAAAGAAAATTTGAAACTCATATTTGTTTTTTTTGGCTGTATGGCCTCTGGTTAAGTTTTTTTGGGCTTAGCTTTTTGCAACTTCGAGTCTCAATTCTCGCTAGAATTGAGAAATACTATTATTGGGATGTTTCATAATTGATCAAAACATTTGTGTTTACGAAAACATTTAGCTTCTGTCACATAAGTTTCAAAGTGCAGTCTTTCTGGCATATTTTTAAGTCAAGTTTTGAATTTATTTGTTTTTTTTTTCTTCCAGGGACACCTTGCTTTGTCTCTGGTTTCAATGTTGTTTAACTCACCCTTGCTTAGAAACATTTGTTTTGAATAATGCAGTTGGATTGGTTTTTATAATTTTGCATGGTTTATACAGTTTTGCTTCAGACAAGATTTTCTCCAATTTTTTGCAATGGTTTGAAAGAGAGCTTTGATTTAATCAGTTTTTTCAGTTTTCATTGCCCTTGCGATATGCAATTATATTGCAACCAGGTTTTTGACTTCTTAGCTGTAGATATTTTCGTTGCCATGGTAACTGAAATTTTTCATATTCGACTCAAGTCGTGTCATGGTAGTCTTTTTAGCAGCTAAATAAGTTTCCTCATGCAGTTATTAATATATCAAGGCTTACAAACTTTTTGTTTCATAGTTTTCATGAATTTTTTGTTCGGATCAATAGGTGTCTTCCCATAAGTTGTCGGCTTTGTTTCGCTTCATAAGCTGTGTTTTAGCATTCATTGTTCTTACTGATCATTTTTTTCGTAAATTGATCTTCATTCAAAACAAAACGAGTCTAGGATATGAAAACTTTGGTAGATTCAGTTTTTTGACATGATAGTCCTGTTTTTCTAATACTTAAGGCATTAAATTTTCATGAGATTTGTGGAAATTTAATTTGTTTTTGTGTTTGTTTTCAGCCAACGATTTTTTCAACAACATTTCATTCAGTTTCTTTTTCATTTTCCTTTAATAAAACAGCTCAAAATAAGGTTCTATTACCAATTGTTCAAAAATTTGATTTTGTTTTTAAATGTTTCTATAGGAATTTAGCGAACTCCAATTAAACGAACTCCTTAATGTAAAATAATTTAATTTAAAGTAATTTTTTGATAATATGGCTTTATCAGCTTTTTGTGATGTTTTTTTTGCAAATTGGTGTGTACTTTGGTATCGCAAGTTTTACTTGATAAATCAGGCCATGACAAACATATTTGGTCTTCATAATAAACCTTGTAAAACCACTCGTTAGACCATAAAGTTGATGCTTATGTGAGGTGTGGGGGGGGGGGGAAGAAAACGAGCCAATTTCTGTGGTATAATTGCGGTTAGCAAGATTGTTGCAACCTTTTACAAGATTTTTTCCGTAAATATATTTTTGCAGGACTTCTGCAGGTCGCATCAGCTTATCTTACTTCCGGCTTCTTATTCTTAGACGTGTTCCTATTTTTACAAAACGGACTTTTGCGGTTAATTAATGTAATTTATAGTTTTCGTCCTCAGATACATATTTATCATTGCTCTTTCGACTTACGTTGTAACGGCTTAGTCGCCATCTGTTGGTCCATTTGGGGGTGCAAATATTTTCGTACGTTTTTGTGTTTTTCGGGGGGGGGGGGTAGGGGGAGTTCGGTTCATAATTTTGAATGACAGAAAATTTGTTTTCATGTCAAGCGTCCACGCAAGTTTTGTCGGCTTAGTAACCGCTCATTCAATCTGTCCTAATAAAAATTTAACGTCGGTAATTGTTTTTTATCTGCATAATATCCTGAAATTGAACTCCTTTCGAGGCAAGAGTTTGAAAGTTTTGATTGATTTCCTAATGTAGCGCAAGTGGTGAGATGTTACACTTCGAATCTGTGTTGTCATTTTTATTATTATTATTTATAATTATTATTTACAGGGGCATTTTTTTGTGTTATTTTACCAGTTAACTTTTTCTTCCAACCCAACCCGCATAAAATTCTGCTCACCAACGTTTGCGAAGTTCTGTTTCGTCTCTTTGGTTTTTAGAGTAATGAACGTATTGAGTACTCTTATATAGGTATTGGTGATGTTCTTTGTTTTTATTTTGGAAAAAGTCTTAAAATTTGTTCACGCTCAATTTTGATTTTTTGCTGTTTGACTTTTGATTTCATCTTAATTTCACTTCATTTCCTGTGTTAAAAGGTAGGCAAACTCCTCTGGTGAACAGCAAAATCGTAAAGGCCACGAAGAATGTTACAGCGGAATAAAACTCTTACCTTTTAATCCAGTTTTCTCAAATTGGGTAAATTGTATCAAAAAAGCTCTAGTCATAAATTGTTCGTAAAATTCAAAGAGTTTTATGGGCATATATTGTTTTTTTTATGCAAAAGTTGAAGTTCAATCCAAAAACAAGTCAATTTTGTTTCTGTTTTTTTTTGCTTCATTACTCTTTTCCAACTGTCAGCTGGCTATATTTCATTGCGATTACTGCTCCGACTTTCGAAGAAATTTAGGAATATATATGATTGGAGGTTTTTTTTTGTTCAGACCCCTTTCTAAAAGGTGATTCAACGTGGAATCTTTGTGTTCCGAAACAGGGGTGCTATGCACTATCCCAACTGTGCTTGAAGCTGCTTTAATTCAAGTTTTTTGAAGGCTAGCTAAGATGCCGAAAGTGTAACACGAATTATTATCCAGACCACGAAATTGTTCCGAATTCAAATCAGGCAAGCTAACTGGTCATGTTATTTCCTGAACGACTCAAATTTTAAAACCTCATATATGATATTGATAGTCCAATATTTATATCTTAACAGAATTTTCTTAATCAAAAACTATTCGATACCTATTAAAGGGTAGATTAGCCCTGATATATGAGTAGTCTTGTTATTTTATTCATATGAATAGGCTATCTATGAGGTCACTAACTCCCTAGTGAGATACTTATCAACGGAATAACAAAAAATAGGAATAATATGTTCCCTTTAATAGATTCCAAGAATCTTCATCGAAGTTTGTTTTAGTAACCTTCACTTGTGGAAGAAGCTCTTCCTTGACTGGCTTGCTTTCTGTCGGATCGGTAGAAGAGACTGCCGAGAGTCTTGGAGTCTCCTTTGGAGCAAACAACTACAAAAACGACGAGGAGTTCTCTGAGACTTGCAATGCTTTGTTCGAATCGTTGGAGTCCAGCGTTGTGTCTAGGACTGTCTGGGACTATATTAAGCCAATTTTCCTCGGAAAAGTATATTATTCGCCAGATACCCCGGCAAGTAATCGAATCATGGCTGCTTTCAATCAAACTTTTCAAGAGGTCGGCGAATTGTTTAGTTTGATCAATTTAGTCGAATTATCTCGTGATCAGATTTTCACTCAGTTGTATGAATACTTCGAGAACTCAAATGTAGGCGGCGACATAGCAACGTCAATACCGTTTCTCGATACTATAATCACAATTGCGCCGATATTTTACGATTTTCCGACCAATTTCAATGTTACACCTCAGGTGTTTTTCTCAAATGACAGACCTATAGGCGATCAGCGATTTGTAACTTGGCAAGACTTATTTAATTCAACCTTCGAAGCTATAGCGATGGCTTCGCAATACTTTCAATGTGTGCCCACAAATCGCTTGCAGGCTTTCGAATCTGAAGATATCTTGATCGAAACGGGAAGCGATTTGTTGAAACAGGGCAAAGTGTGGGCGGGAATTGTGTTCACGAACATAGATCCAGCGTCCACTTCGGACACTGTTCCGCCTCATTTGAAGTACAAGGTCAGAATGAACACTGATAAGGTGGATTCTACGGATAGTATCATCGACAGAGTTTGGTTTCCGGATCCAAGAACAAACTTCCTAAATGATTTAAAAGCGTATACATCGGGTCAAGTTTTTGTGATGGATCTTTTGGAAAAAGCTGTCATCAAAGTTCAATCGGGAAATAGCAAGTATTTCACAGAAACAGGAACATGGTTGAAACAGTTTCCAAGTCCTTGTTATAAAGAAGATCAATTTCTGTGGGCGATATCGAGGACCATACCCCTTTTCATGGTGTTGGCATGGCTTTTCAGCGTGGGCATGATCGTCAAAGGAATTGTATACGAAAAGGAAACCCGATTGAAAGAGGTTATGAAAATCATGGGCCTTGGTAATTCGATTTTGTGGCTCTCGTGGTTCTTATCAACCTTCATCATGCTTTTCACCGCCTCAATTTTGCTCTCATTAATTCTCAAACTGGGAACCGTTTTGGCAAACAGTAACTTCTTTTTGACATGCTTCATGTTTGTTTCTTTTACTTTTCCGACAATTACTTTTTGCTTCTTCGTTTCGACTCTGTTCTCGAAGGCTAACTTGGCATCTGCCTGTGCGGGAATCGCTTTTTTCTGCGCATACTTGCCATACACTCTATTTCTAACATGGGAACGCTATATTACCAGTAATGCTATAAAATACGCTTTGTGTCTTTCGTCTAATGCGGCTTTTGGCTTTGCGTGCAGCTATTTTGCGTACTTTGAACAACAAGGTACTGGTGTACAATGGGATAACATAAACACAAGTCCGAATTACAAAGATAATTTCAGCCTTCTTGAAGTCATTTTTATGATGTATCTTGACGCTGTTATTTATCTACTACTGGCATTGTACATTGAACAGGTTTTCCCAGGAGCTTATGGAGTCCCAAAGAAATGGTATTTCGTGTTCCAGAAGAGTTTCTGGATCGGAGAGTCGAATGAGGTCACAGTTGAAGATGCGAAATTACACTTTGACCCAACATTTTCAGTTAAGGGTCCCAGTTTTGAAGTTGAAGAGGTATCGGGCGAGAAAATAGGAGTTCAGCTGAGGGACATGACTAAAATCTACCCTACGGGTAAAAAGCTAGCGGTCGATCAACTTTCGATGAACTTCTACGAAAATCAAATCACATCTTTCCTCGGTCACAATGGAGCAGGTAAAACAACAACCCTTAGTATAATAACTGGACTATTTTCACCGACTTCTGGAACTGCGTTTGTAAATGGTCTGGATATTAGAAAGCACATGGACGAAATCAGACGATCAGTTGGAATGTGTCCGCAATATAACGTGCTTTTTGACCGAATGACAGTGGCGGAGCATCTTTATTTCTACGGAAAATTGAGAGGCAGAGGCAACGATGACATCAAAAGAGATACGATTAAGTTGCTGAAGGATCTGAACTTGCCGCATAAATCTGACGAGTACGCGGAGAATTTGTCGGGAGGAATGAAGAGGAAATTGTCGGTTGCTGTGTCCTTTGTAGGTGGGAATAAGACTGTGATTTTGGACGAGCCGACGGCAGGAGTGGACCCGTTCAGCAGGCGAGGTAAGATAAATCATAACCTGAGCTCTGGTCGAAAATGGTGTCCATATTTTTAGCGTTGAGATGTCCTCTTATTATATATCACAGCAATTAGAACTGACGTTTTTTTCTGATGCTTTTGGACGCAGGTTAAGACGAATCAAAATTGGCCATCCAGTTAAGTTTTTTTATCGGCGAAAGAGAATTTAGTATCAATGTGAAATAAGAGATCAGATTGAGCTGCCTGAAATAAATGATGATGTGAACTACAGCTGTTCTTAACCCACAGTCTAAGTTTTTCAACTGAAAGGATCAATAAATCTGATAAGAAATGGTTTTTACAGGTATTTGGGAGTTGCTGTCGAAATACAAGGAAGGCAGAACCATCATTCTCTCCACCCATCACATGGACGAAGCCGATGTCCTCGGAGACCGAATCGCCATAATAGCCAACGGAAAGCTCCAGTGCTCTGGATCTTCTCTATTTCTTCGTAGACATTTTGGAGACGGATATCTGCTCACAATCGCCAAGAAACAAATTGAGAAAACTGATGATGCGGAACATTCGAACTCTGCCATTGACTCAATTCGAATTGATAAAGACATCGAGAATTTCGTCACCGCAAATTTTTCAGGAGCTTCAATCTTGAAGAGCATCGGCCAAGAACTCACGTTTGTCCTCCCATATTCAGGGCTAGAAAGTGGCTCTTTTAATATATTGTTTGAAAAGTTGGAGAAAGACGCCACTAAGCTTGAGATTTCGGACTATGGACTATCGGATACGAGCTTAGAGGAGATTTTCATTAAAGTCGCTGATCAGGCACCGGAACATGCTGGTGATGGCGGTGATGGAGTTGTTCCGACGGTCCGCACATCTTTCCGGAAGAGCAGGAAACCTTTGACAAACGAACAAGCTGAGAATAAAGGTCTGGTAAATGGTGACTTTACAGATAATGATACTGACAATGACTTAGACAATGACACTGATCTAGATCAAGTCAAATTCAAGCAACCAAATTCAATCGGCACAGGCTGTATGAACGGTAATGCTGATGAAGCCGTGGTTCGTTTTAAGCAAGCTGATAGAGTCGAAGCTAAAGACTTTGCTCAACTGAATGTCCCGAAAGTCCAAGGAGCCAAACTCCTATGGCTTCAATTTCGAGCCCTTTATACAAAGCGATTCCACCATCTTCGCAAGGACAAGAAAGCGTTCTTGACACAAATTTTACTCCCTGCAGGTTTTGTGTTCTTGGCTATGTTTTCCAGCATGCTAGCACCTGATTCGGTAGATCAGCCAAGTTTGGAATTGCAACCTTGGATTTACGGAGATAATCACTGGATGTTTTATAGTGATTCTTCTGGCAATGACGATCACGTAAAAAGAGCAATAAGCGAGTTCCTGTCTAAACGGCCTCATCACTCGACTCGATGCGTGAAAGGGTATGAAATTGACGAGCACCCTTGCTATCCGACTATTGAGGCCGCGTCTTTTTCGTCTGAAGTTTCCAGCTCAATTTTGAACTCATTTAACCCTGATTCCGAGAGTCCTTCGCCACAGTGCAGCTGCAAAACAGGTCACAGCGTATGTCCAGCATTTGCTGGAGGACCGCAGCCAGCTGAAAAACAATTAGCAACAACTGATAAACTTCAGGATTTGACCGATAGAAATATATCAGATTATCTTGTGAAAACAAGATTGGAGTACAGACTGCAAAGGTTCTACGGGTTTGAATTCGAAGGAGCGGAATCAGATTTCAACTTGACTCAGACTCAAATTCTAAACACTGTTGACTCAATTTACAATCTGCTTGACAGTCAGGGATTCTTTGAAGGTATTAATAATACGTACAATAGTGGACTGTCATGGAAGTACGTCATGGACGAGCTGAGAGATCTGATCAATGCTTCGGTAGCTCCTAACAATGTCAAAGTATGGTGGAACAACAAAGCACATCATGGCATGTTGAGCTCGGTGAATGCTATGCACAATGTATTGTTAAGGAGTTCACTTCCGGACAGTGTATCGCCGAATGATAAGGCGAGGTATGGGATCACAGCTTACTCTCATCCGTGGTCACTCACCAAAGATCAACTGCAAGAGGAGGTATGTCTCATCGAAAATTTCGGTACACGTCATATTTTAATTTTTAAAAACCCGAGCCGTGGCTCAATCATAATATCCCCTATCATGGCCTCAGGACTGCAATCTGGCTTCAATCTACGATTTTGTAAATAGAGAGGATTCATTCTGAAGTCTTAAATTTTATCTTTCAATTATTATATTTTATGTTTTAGGTGCTGAGAAGAAGTGGTCGAGACATAGTTGTTGGAATCTGTGTAATTTTCGCTATGAGTTTCGTTCCAGCTAGTTTTATACTGTACCTCATAGACGAACGTGTCTCAAAGTCGAAACATCTCCAATATGTCAGTGGTGTCAACCCTGGAATCTTCTGGCTGTCAACAGCTGCCTGGGATTTCACAAACTACTTGGTCCCCGCGCTTCTATGCATACTGATTTTCCTGGTGTTCCAAGCCGAAGCGTACGTTAGCAGTAACAATCTACCCTGTCTCATTCTACTGTTGATTCTATATGGCGTCAGTGTGACTCCATTAATGTACCCTGCTTGTTACATATTCGGGATCCCAAGTACTGCGTACGTTCTGCTAACTGGCATCAATGCTTTCATCGGCATAAACGCAACAGTTGCCACTTACATTCTAGACTTCTTTCCCAGCGATGAGGATCTAAATCTGTGGAACTCAGTTTTGAAGAAAGTGTTCCTCATTTTCCCTCAGTTTTGTCTGGGACGTGGTCTGTTCGAAATGGCACTGAATCAGATTCTAGCGGATCAGTTGGGACAATTCGGAGAATATGAGTTCCAGAGTCCTCTGAATTTTGATATAGCGGGAAAGCATATTTTTGCAATGGCAGTGCAGTCGGTTGGATTTTTCATGCTGGTGTTGCTGATTGAACCGGTATCCTGGCTGATCATAAATCTGTTGGCGGTGGATAGGAAGCCTTCGTCTGTAGACGTAGAGTACGAAGAGGATGTGAATAGTGAAAGAAGCAGAGTTCTATCGGGTAAGTTTCTGCTTTTCTGATAAAATTTTCGAAGATTTAAAATAAAGAACATTTTATTCATTCAAATTGTTAGGTTGCCGACGCCATGAAATTGGCTAATATTTATTACCCTTGTGATAAGCAAGGATGTTGCAATCGGGTACTTACTAGACTTTTTTCCCGTAAACAACTTTGCTTACAGGATGACTGAAATTTGGCCAGCTCCATTTATATTCATGTCTGCGATTTGAACGCTGGTTCTATTTACCCTTGCGATTAGCAAGGGTGTTGTCAAAACTTGTTTTTTTTTGTTGGTCGTAAATTTGCCCACTGCGATTTCAGTATATCATTTTTTTGTTTTTGTTTTATGTTTATTCGGCATAAGAGTCTTCCGCTGATAATATATCGGCTAACAAGCGTCCTTTTGAATCGTTTCAGGAGCAATAAGGTTTTATTCAAATGTTTTGAAGGGGGACTTTTTGGAGTGTTGAGTTAAATAATAAAAAAAATCTCGGCGCAACTTGTGTCTGCTCAAGTATCGTCTGCTTTGTTACTACTTTGCAAGTTTGCTATGCTTATCTAACATTCAATTGTCTTACCTTGTGGCATATTTTCTTGAAAGGATTTTTTTTTCAAAACAAAATCAAGACAAAAGTAGAAGAATTATTGATATATTAATTTTTTTCGATATTTTTTCAAAAAAGTTTGAATTTTTTTCTACCGCTTTCATCTTTATTTCTATCGGTTAGTTTGTCACTAGTTTGTCATTTATATGTTGTTTCGCAATTAGTGCGAAGATTTGCTTCGCCTCTCTTTGTAAACTTTTTAAAGGTGCAATTATTTGAGTTCCAAGATTCCGGATTTTTTTTTGCAACTTTTTTAGATAGTTTTTTGAAGTATTTTTTTTCGAAACGTCGGTTCATCTGCTAGACGTCATAATCATTCTTTTGTATCGCAAGTTGTGCTAAGCTCTGCGTAAATGCATGTATTTAAATTTGACTGGTCGAACGGAGTGGTCTAACATTGAACAATTTTTGTCAGAAATCTTTGAGAAACTGACCTTGCTTTTTTGAAATCTTGATAACTTCCAAGCCCCATTACTTGGTCGAGTAGTATTTCTTAGGCATTTGATTGGATTCCCGATTGGATTTTTTGTGCTCACCTCTGGATTGCACAAAATGCTTAAAATCTTTAGAATTTATAGTTCAATTTCATGTCAACAATTTTTTTCTCGGCTTTTTTGTTTTTTTATTTTCTTTTTTTTTCGGCTTGATAATTTTCGGCCTATATAATATCGGCTTATTGGCCTCATATTGCGTCTTTCGACGAGCGAAAAAAGTTCGTGTGTGCGTGTCTTTGCTTTGAGGGTGAGGGCGACTTAATAACTTTTTATAAGTCTTGTGATTTTTTGCGGCTCAGTGGGTTTGTGACAAGGTGTTTTCGGCGTTGTTACCGCTGGGTACATTATCTTCCGATGCTAATTTCACATTCTATTGTCCTGGCATGTGTTTGTTTCGAAGCTAAGTCTTATTCATTTTGATAGATCTAGTTTTTTCGACATTTTCGATTTTTTTTTTTCGATGTTCTTACTTGTTGTGTATCGCAAGTGGTGCGAAGCTCAGCTTCGCCTGTGCTAAATATTTTGTTCGACGTGTCTCATTTTTATTCGCTCACTTGCAATGCTGTGATTATGTTGTATCGCAAGTGTTGGAAAGCTCCGCTGCCCCCCCCCCCCCCCCCCCCCCCTCCCCCCGTGCTGAACTTGAAAGAAACAGTTTCCTCTAAAAGTAAATGTATATTGAAGCAACCATTGGTTCATTTTATTTCTCTAGGTGCTAGTGACAATGACCCAGTTGTGGTGAAGCGACTGAGGAAGAAGTATGGACGGAAGTTTGTGGCAGTGAAGGACCTCTGCTTTTCAGTGCCCCCAGGAGAGTGCTTCGGACTACTTGGGGTCAACGGGGCAGGAAAGACTACCACGTTCAACATTCTCACAGGTTAGAAAGGCTTAAGCTTGATGAGATGCGGGTCAAAAACAGATGATAATTTTCAAGTTTTTATAAATCAAATGATTTATTTGTTAGCAAAAGCCCTCTGCTGTATTAGACATTTTGTAATGATAAAATATCTTGTATTGCATGAAGTGAGCTCTAAATTAGGAGCTTATTCCATTGGCTCTTGAAAAAGTGGATAAAAACTGAGGGCTCAAAAAAAATAATGCAAAGATCGTAAATCAGCAGATGCTAATTTTTAGGAGATGACATTGCAAGCAGCGGTGTAGCCATAATTGGGGGCCACGACATTGGCACGGAACTAAACAGTGCCCGGAAGAAGGTTGGATTCTGCCCACAATTCGACGCACTAGACCCACTTCTCACAGTGCGGGAACACGTTGCACTCTATGCTAGGCTCCGCGGCATCCAGAACCAAGACGTGGCCCAAGTGGCTGATGGTTGCATTGTGAAAATGGGGCTGAGTAAGTACAGGAATAAGCAATGTGGAACTCTGAGTGGGGGAAATAAGAGGAAGTTGTCGACTGCAATTGCTCTTGTAGGGGATCCGCTGATAATATTCTTGGATGAACCGACTAGCGGAATGGATCCAAAAGCTAGACGGTAAGTTGCATCTATGTTCCTCTCTGAACCTCTCAAACGGTTAATATAGATTGAACAAATTTTACAGCAAATAATTGTAACAACTTTGTTAAACTTCGTGAGCTTTAATCTACTGCAACTCTGCAAACTTGTCATGTCACAACTTAACTTTGAAATACCACCACTTAAGCTTGAATTGCAGATTCAGATAAGGTTTTGCTTAGCTCAGTGAAAACCACCTCTTGAAATTTTGAATGATTAACTAGACTTTTTTTACCGCAAACATTTTTTGTTACATATTGAACGTGCTTTTTTAGTGAACTTGAACAATTTCTAGCATCCTTTGCAATTGGTCTTGAGGTAATGCGGTTACCTTCTTTATTCTGGGGTCCTTTTATTGTTTTCAGTATGTATGAAATCGAAAAAAAAACGAGAAAACCTTGCATTGACCGCCTCTTGTTTATCTGCTTATATTGTATCAGCTTAGTTGCCATATCACAGATTTTTCTTATAAGCATTTTTCTCTGTGGTTGCAAGTATTTTTTGATTTAATCCTGTAATTTCTTACCCCTGACTTAGTTTTTTCCTTTTTTTTGCTTAAGGGCTTTATTCGAGCCTTGTTTCGGCTTGTTTTCTTGGCTAAGTCAACTTATTTTGTGACGGTTGAAAAGCAAAAATTGAGGATGTTAATAAATAGTAATTCAGGTCGGTTGTGTTGCAAAAGTTCAAAGTTTTGAAATTTAATCGCTTAAATTTTTTTTTTATAAGGAAAATTTCTGAAGGCATTTTTTTGTTTTCGGTTTAAGGAGCGTCTACCCACGAATTTTGGGACTTGTAGCCCCTCGGTTAATACCCAACGCTTGTTTAATTCTGGTAGTGTTATTTCTCGATTGTTGGTCTGAATTCGATTTTTTCAAACAAAACTTCAGTTTGAAGTATTTTTACCCTTGCGATAAGCGAGAGTTTTGCAATCGGGTACTTGACTTTTTTTCCCTTAAACAACTTTGTCCACAGAATGACTAAAATTAGGTCATCTTCAAATGCATCTCTATTTGTACCCAAGATGGTGATTCAAAAGCTGGCTTCAATGACGGAAGTGATATTAGTTTTACAGCTGAAAAAGATTTTTAGATGTAAGTTGATTTTTTTGTCGGCTTCATTGATTTCGACCCAATTTTTGTCGGCTTACTTGCCGGGTAATAAGTTCTGTATTTTTGGTAGATTTTTTGATATTTTTTCATTTTCATAAGGGCAAATATAATTCATGGTTTTCTGGTTTTCATAGGCGCCAAAATTTTCTGTTAGAAATAAAACTTTTTTGAATTTTTCTGCTAGAATTTTTTGCAAATAACTATTCAGCTTTTTTCGTATTCATATTTTCCGATTTTTTTTTTCTAAATATGAGTAAAACTAGTTTTATTTTATTTAGTTAGGTTGCGTTTTAGGTTTAGGTTGGTGCGTTTTAGATCTAAATCGATTTAGAAAAAACCTTGAAAAAATTTAAAATTTCTAGATTTTTTTTGCAAAGTTGGCTCAATTTTTTTGTCTACAGAGGAATGTTGCGGGGAAGATCTGCCCGAGTTCCAGGAGTGTGGTTTTTTCTGGCCGAAATTTTTGAAAAATGTTTGTTTTTTGTTTTCTTCTTTGGCGTTTTTTCTGTTGTTGTAATTTAGCTCTCTTACCGTTGCGTATAAATTTCATAACTGATAATTCTTGATGTAATTGCGTTTTTTTTTCACAGGATTTGAGAGTTTTTTTCAGATTGTTTGTTATTTTTTGTGGCAATTGTTTGTAATTTATGTATTCATGTTTTGATATTTTGTTTTTCGTTTTTTTTTTCATTTTGATGTTATACTATAGCGGATAGGGCCTTTATCCCCGACTGTTCTGGTTAGATATGCAGGTTGTTTTGTTACAAGATTTAATGAACCGTTTTTGAGTGTATGTAGGAATTATCGTATCTCAATTTTTTGACCGAAATGTTTTATCGTTTTCATCTATTGGTTATCAGAAAGAATTGGATGGAGTTAAACCCAAATCCTTGTTTTGTTTTGAAGGTAATTGACTTCTATAACAATTGCAATAATTTTTTTCAGAATTTTGAGCCTACGATTTCTTCAACAAAATTCATTAATGTTTTTCAATTTTTGTTTTAAACACATTATCTTTTGATTTTTGGAGTTTTCTTGTGTACCGCAAGTGGTGCGAAGCTCAGCTTCGCCTCTGTGTTTTTCTGTCTCTTTTGCTGTCGGTAGTTTTCAATGCGCCGCTTGCATTGTATCACAAGTAATCCAAAGCTCCGCTTAGCCTCTGTGTCGAGAAAGTTTCGTTTAGTCGCTGTGTTGACGGAACTTTGCTTTGAGAGTGCAAACCACCTCTCGAACTCTTGAATGATGATTGATAAAACTTCGCTTTGAGCACAGTGAAGACAACTCCTTGAAATCTTGAATGATCTTCAATAAAATTTCGCTTTGCTGACACTTAATGATGTTTGATATAACTTCGTTTTGCAAATACTAAAAACCACCACTGAATGCTTTTTAATTGAACTTTGATTTGGACACACTAAAAATCACCAATCGATCTTGCGAATGATGTTTGATAAACCTCGCTTGTGCACTCGAACTCTTGAACGATGTTTGTTAAAACCTCGCATTCCACGCAGTGACCTCTCGTATATACTAAAATAGAAACTTGATGTACAGCCAATCTCAAACTCTTTCAGTCAAATGTGACGTTACATATAGTGGTGTCATTTTAAACTGCGCAGCTGAAAGTTTTTGAGATTGATAGATAGTTTGTTTAATTCAGAAGAGTTAATAACCTGATATACATTTAATTATTGCAAAAGACACGTTTTTCTTCTTGCTAAAATTCACTTCTAAAAACGAAAATAACTGTTAGGCCGGACCGTTCCAGTCGTTCATTAAAACAATGTTTGATAATTTTTTAGCCATGTCCTTAATTTGAATACGCTAGTCCTGATTTTGAAAACGTCTAAATGGAAAATTTGAGAAGCTAACAATTTCCTGCAAACTGGATTGTATTTTGAACCTGTAAGTTCGCTGCGAGATGGAATACTCTCGTTTTAGAGCAATGATTTTTCAAAAAAATATATATATTTTGAAATTACTGTTTCAGGTATCTTTGGCAATGCATCCACGATGCAATATCGGAAGGCCGATCAGTAGTTCTCACTTCACACTCCATGGAAGAGTGTGATAGAATTGATAATTTTTTAGCCATGTCCTTAATTTGAATACGCTAGTCCTGATTTTGAAAACGTCTAAATGGAAAATTTGAGAAGCTAACAATTTCCTGCAAACTGGATTGTATTTTGAACCTGTAAGTTCGCTGCGAGATGGAATACTCTCGTTTTAGAGCAATGATTTTTCAAAAAAATATATATATTTTGAAATTACTGTTTCAGGTATCTTTGGCAATGCATCCACGATGCAATATCGGAAGGCCGATCAGTAGTTCTCACTTCACACTCCATGGAAGAGTGTGAAGCGCTTTGCACAAGACTGGCCATAATGGTCAACGGCCAATTCAAATGTCTCGGCACATCACAACACATTAAAACAAAATATGGAGACGGTTATGTCATTCAGTTGAAGATGCCGAATGGATGCTGTGAACAAGTCGAAGAGTTTTTCTGTTCACACTTTCCAACCGCGAAAATTATGGAAAAACTGCCGACACTGGTAGTTTTCCAACTGGGCCAAATGGAGGCAAAGTTGGGAGACTTGTTCAGAGTGATAGAAAAAGGAAAGAAAACCAAGATTCAAATCCCAGTCTACACCGGAAGACGTGAACTTCAAATGCTGCAGTGTGAACTAATCGAAGACTACTCCGTCAGTCAAACTACTTTGGATCAAGTGTTTATCAACTTCGCCAAAAACCAGTCGGATATTGTTCCTCTTGGCAACCAAGTTTCAGCAGATAATAACGAAAGCTTCGAAATATCTCTAACTAAACCAAGATTGGCTGCTCAAGGAGGAAGTATGCCAAGTTTGATCACAGACGTGGAAGCTAATGCGCGAAGTTCGAACCATAACACACCACAAGCTAAGAAGTATCTGGTCAGCTCGCCAATTCCAGCCAATGATGTGGAAGCTCAACTGAATGATACTTTTCAAGAAAGCCAGATCTTGTTGCCGGAGTATCAAGTAGTCGATACCCCTGCAAGTGTGAGTATAGCGGACAATTCTGCCACTGCTCAAAAACCACCCGCAGTGATAGTTTCGCAAGTAATGCCACTGGCACCAACTGCAGATGTACCAGGAGAAAAGCAGGTCAAAACTGAGGAAATCAAAGATGACGTTAAGGATCACGCTATAGATGAGAAGGATGAGCCGAAATCAACGACTGTGGCAGGAGGCGCCGCAAATGTAAGTGATAATTTGTTCGATTTTAATCAACCAGCCCGCAGGCCTAACCCGGAGGTTGTTTAATTAAGTTGACAAGAGCGCTTATAACCAGCCCTCATTTGCTATGAGTAACTTGCAAGAATATTTCTATGCTATCATGTTAACGAATTGTTTTATGTATTACTTGAATTATTGAGATAATGTTTTAAAGGTAAATTATGCCTTTGGCCTTACATTAGTTGATGGGCAATTAGTTTTAAAAACTTGAAACTTTCTAGCGTCTGTAAAGTGATGATTTTGGAAAAAAAATCTACTTAATGAATTGTAGATAAGAAAAAAGCCGAAAATGAAAATTCTAACGTCTTTTTTGAGTAGGTTTCGCAAGATCTAATTTCTAACTTGTTGTTCCGACCACCTAAATAATTATTTTTCACTTATATAGGTCTTGATGATTTTTTGTTTGTTTTTCAGGAAAGTCTTAAGATGCTCTAATAACAACTGATATGCTTTTATACGTAATAATGCAATTATGAATGCACTTAGTTATATATGCACTTTTTGAGTTCAATTTAAGTTTATTTCCTGAATGATAGGTAAGTGCGCTCGCCGATTACAAAAGAGAAAATGGCTCGAACAAACGTGAAGGACTTAGAGATTCGAAAGTGGATTTTAATTTACCTGCGGAGCAAAAAATTTACTAGCCAGTTTTAAGAATAATGCACGTGCTGATTATCTTAATAAGTCTTTTTCTTATAGGAAAAGTTTTCAAATATGTTCACGCAGTTTTGATTTTTCGCGGTTTGACTCTTGAATTCTTTTCAACTTCAGTTTATTTCCTTTGTTAAAAGGCAGGCAAACTTCACTATCGAAAAGCAAAAGTATAAAGGGCACCAAAAATTGGGTTAATTTCATCAAAAATGTACTAAGCATAAATTATTCAAAAAATTCAAAGAGCTTTAAGGGCAATTATTTTTTTTGTTAAAATTCGAAAGTTGAAGTTTTCAAAAAACATATTTTCTTCTGTTTTCTTGCGTTTATTACTCTTTTTCAACATAGTACTTACAGTTGGCTATGTTCTTAAACTAGGTTATCAGAAAAATTACTCAAAATCTTAAAATGTTCTTGAAATTCGAAGAGTTTTAACTCTTTTCCGAAAGTTGAAGGAGAAGCAAAAACTTTTAAGTGTTTTTTTTTGTTTCCTTGTTCTTTTACATTTTCCAAGCTTCTGTTGGCTATGCTTAATCTGGTGCCGTGTATATTAATAGCTGGCTTTTTTTCAGCTTGTTGTTTAACTGAGAGCATTTATATTAATGAGTTTACGTTTTTAATTGTGAAGTCGCTGATTTCTGTTTAAATTTCTGGGTTCAGTTTTTCTGGGCAAATAAGAGGATTAAAATGCGGGTTTAATTAGAAAAAAGTAGATTGCTTTCATTACTGCGCATGTGATTCGATGGTAAGTGTTATTTGGTTCGAATCTCGGCGGTACAATGTAAAATTTATTTTTTATTCTCTAACTTTCAGAGCTCCATTAATGTTTTTTTGTTTGTTTGCGAAATCAAACTTCACCTTTGTCTTGTTTTTACTTAATGTTTTACACTTAATGTCTTTTTCTTCGTGCTTTTGTCATATCAAAGACGCAAATTTTCTTGCATTTTTATTTTGTTTCTGGGTACTACTTAGCTATATTCAATTTAATAAAAAACCTTCATTTGCTGCTTGCTTTATCAGTATTGCTTGTAATGAAGTGTGAAAATGAGTGACATAAGGTTTGCTTGGTGCTATAACGAAACTCAAGTTTTAAAGAAAAAAAAATCGAACATAAAATCAGCTTTTTCGAACTGCTTTTTAGCTGTGTTTGTTTTAAGCATTTTTGTGTCCGTATTGCCAGAGACAGTCGTTTTTGTTAATGAGGGACATCCAATGAAATTTTGGGAGACTCGGAAAATCTCCCCACTCTGCAGATGAAGGGCAGGATTTTCTCCGGGTGTTCTTGAAACCAGGACAGATCTGGATTTTGACCCAGGGTTTCAGTTCTTTCTTCTACCCAGAACGGACAGGAAATCAGGAAGTGTTCTGTGTCTTCAGGGGCCTGGTTGCAGTAGTTGCAGGTCTCGTTCTCGGCTCTCCCGTGCCGATGGGCTACAGACTGCAGTTTGTAGACTGCAGCCAAGGAGCCATTTTTAGCCTCAGTTGGTGAAGGATTTTTTCTTGTCTTGATCGGTTTCTGTCGAACTTGAGGGTATTCCCGTTGGTCGCTTTTTGGTGGGTTGAGTCGGTAGGCGTGTTGTTTATGTAGTTTTCTAAGGTTCTTGCTTCATTCCCTTCTCGCAGATGGTGTGTGAGGCAGGCTCCCTGGGGGATTTGCTCGAATCTCTTGCTACAGACGGTTCTCCTTTCTATTTTGAAGCAGGTGTCTGCTTTTCTTTAAGTTAGGCAGATTCCATCGCTTGTAAGTACCAGACTCACTTTAATGTATGACCAACTGCAGTGCATCATGGATCAATTTAGAGTTGTCGAAAGCTAGTTAATTTGGCTCCTGAGAAGAAAATCCAAGATTGTTACCAAAAAATAAGCAATGCACCTGTAATTTTTGACCAATGTATTATCATACTGAAACCAGTTTGTGTACTGACAAAAAGAAGCTAAGATCCGGATCTGACCATTCACGAACAGTTGAAGATGTTGCTTGAAGTTATCACGCAGTTTTTAGTATGTATACGCCGTGTTGTTGAGCTGACGCCAAAAAGTACTGTACGAAACTGTACTCAAAGCACACGGACAAATCTACTATTTTCCGTCCAGCACCCGATCTTGAAATAGTCTATTCCACAAATGTGGAGATTGTGCGCGAGTGTCTGGATGACATGGAAGAATACGCACAGAAGGAGTTATTTGAAGTCTGGTCCGGATATTATGCGTACTTCATAAAGCAAGTTCTGATCAGGTTTCCAGCGTTTCTTACATCTTCAGTAACTCGCGGTATTTATCTGATCTAAGTTCCTGTTTGATTTATTAAACAGGTATTATAAAAACGTTTTTTTTTTCAGATGAGATCTGGTTTTTTTTTTTTTTTTTTTTTAGACGCTTTTTCGAAAAATTCGCTTTCCCAAAAAACTACCCGTCAGATTCTCATAAAAGTGGTACCAATGGATTCAGTAGCGTTTCACCTACCTGCCTGCATGAAATGTAGGGCAATTTTTACCCTACCCCACCCCCTACGGTCTTAGAAAAGCTTCACAACTCGGTACTTTTTTCACTTTTTGCCCATTTTTTCGGAAATTTTCGATTTCCTCAAAAACTACCCGTCCAGATTTGGGATTAAGGGTTTAATCGATAAACCAGGTTGTAGGAAACTCCCATGCACAAGCGGCTGGTCCCTAATTTGCTTAGGGGAAGAGCTATAGACTTAGGAAAAGTCACTTTTTTGATTTTTTTGCCTATTTTTTCGGAAATTATCGATTTCCTCAAAAACTACCCATCCAGATTTGGAATTAAGGGTTTAATCGATAGACCAGGTTGTAGGAAACTCCCTCCTCGCACAAGCGGCTGGTCCTTAACTTGCCTAGGGGAAGAGCTATAGACTTAGGAAAAGTCACTTTTTTGGCCTTTTTTCAAATCTTTCCGATTTCCTCAAAAACTACCCGTCCAGATTTGGGATTAAGGGTTTAATCGATAGACCAGGTTGTGGGAACCCCCCCCCCTACACAAACGGCTCGTCCCTAATTTGTCTAGGATAAGAGCTATACACTTAGGAATAGTCAATTTTTCGGTTTTTAGGCCATTTTTTCAAACTTCTTCGATTTCAAAAACTACCCATCCAGATTTGGGATTAAGGGTTTAATCGATAGACCAGGTTGTAGGAAACTCCCCTGCCCAAGCGGCTGGTCCTTAATTTGTCTCGGGGAAGAGCTGTACACTTAGGAAAAGTTTTTTTAAAAGTTTTTTGGCATTGGAACAAAGATTCAATATACTTATTGTGTGTATTTTTTAGACAATGGAATCCGCTATGCTTACGTTTTCTCGCTTTTGCTTGGTGCTATTGGCTTTGTGTTGAGTTTTTTTGTATGGTTCGAAGAAGTCCAACGAGAAGTTGCACGAGTTACGCTAGTTCTCTTTAATCAGGTCGGTTTGTTCCAGAACGTTTTTGTGATGTCAGTTATAGTCAACATATTAGTCATATTTGCAATGCACACAATTACCCTGCTACATTAGTTTACAAAACTCATCCGAAATCAATCTGCGATTTCGCTAACCTTACACCCCCCACCCACATTTTTTCAAACTCGTTTTTTCAATAAAACAAAAAGCGCTAGCAGTAGTATGCATATAGTGCGTTAGGATCGGGGGGGGGGGGGGGGGTTGTCATACATGGATGACCATTAGGTATAAATCATAATGGTCACCATGTATTAAATGATCAGCAATGGTCACCATGTAATAATCCTAATTGTCACCATGTATAATTTTATACCTAATAGTCCTCATGTAAAACTTCGGTATATTATTGAGTATTCCCACTGAACGTTGTGGTTACATGTTTGGTGCGGGAAAGGATTTGCCAAATCTTCGTTCTGAAACCAGCTGGAGTGTTTAACTGCGCTATAGACTGTTTGCTCAATTCTTCTTACAACTTTGATTCAAACTCAAATTACATACAAATACATACAAAAGTATGCTAAAGACACTATCGCTTAAATGAAATTGTTTATATCCCAGATTAATCGAGTTCCAAAGCTGAACAAAATCTCGCACTTAAATACACACTAAACACGGAATAGCGGTAGGTCAAATTTTATGTACAGACAATTCTCATATTAAATAACTGAATTTTATTTACTATACAAAAGTTAATTTGGTGTTTTTTTGTGTTTTAATCTATTCGTCGATTTTTTGACCGTGGTTCTTCTACTTCAACTGCTTCATAATCGAAAAACGAATCGTTGAAGAATGTCGACTCGTCCTCATTGGCCTCCACTCGTCGGAAGTATTGGCCTCCAGATCCGCGATATCCCCGCTATCAA